AAACTTTATATATAATATATGTACGTATATAAAAGAATAAAGCCAAAAGGTAAAAATTTTGTGGAATATAAAGCTGCTTTGAAATTTTAATGGGCTCAAAATTTTAAATTTAGATTTTGGTCCTACTAAAAAAATTGAGCTATACGGAGTAAGTATTAAGTTGATTGAAGAAGAATGGTACGGAGCTATGTTTGAGTTGATAACGTTGAGGGGATGTTTTGGAGTTGAGGGTTTTGGAGGAAGGGGAAGGTTGAGGGAGTATATCACCCTCCTTTTCATGTTTGGGAGTTTTAAAAATTGAAGAGGATGATTTTGGAGGGCTTGTAAACCCCAAAACTCTCTAAGAGCATCTCCAATGGTAAAATGTGCACGGTGCACAGGTGGCATGAAAAATAGCCACATAAATATTAGTAAATAAATTCTTTCTCTCCTTATTTGAATGATTTTATACAATTTTGGTAAGTTTTTCTGCACACTGTCAAGGAGACCGTCTAGATGTTAACATTGTTGTTGACATTGCAGGGATAAACTTACCAAAATTGTATAAAATCATTCAAATAAGGAGAGAAATAATTTATTTGTTAATATTTATGTGGCTATCACTCATGCCACAAGTGCACCGTGGACATTATAGCATTGGAGATGCTCTAAATGCTCAATTTTTAAGTTACTCCAATTTGGAAGGTTTTGAATGATACTTAATGAAATGACAACTTAAGCTCAATTAAAAATGAATATCAGTTCAATTATTTGAATTCGTCATGTTTCAAAGTGATTTGAATTATAATTCCTTCAAAACCTCTGTTCTTCCAAATTTATTACTCTCAAATACAAAAAAAAAAGACTTTCTCACATTCCCCTCCTTTTTCCCTCCAACAACATACCTCCAAAGTCCTCCCCTTCTCTTTCCTTCAAACTCCCAAAAATACCCTAAGGAAAAAAATTGATCTAGATCGGGTTTTAATTTTTCAGAAGAAGATCAGTAGAAAGAAATAGAGAAAAGAAGATACATGAATGGATAATACTATAAATATGGCAGTGCGTAGCCACCAGATGCACGGCCAAGGCCGGGTAAAAGAAAGAAAAACGCTATAAAATGGAAACCAGGAAACACTAGTAAACCAGCAACAGCCGTGTGAATGTTACGACTCCTATATGTTGGGCTGGACACTAGTGCGCACGGATACAAGATCTACTTTATTACTTCCTCTATCCAAAAATTAACTTCCACATTTCCTTCTTGATATCCCAAAATTAACTTACTACTTTTATTTATACTAGGTATCTAATTTTGGTAAACTTTTGATGCGAAAGTACCCATTCGCCCCCTACCCCTACTTTATTGTTTATTTACCTACTTTACTTTATTTGACTACTGTCTCCATTTACTTTAACCACAAAAATGCATGGTGTACACTTCTTTGTACATCATTCACACCATTTGTCTGTTTACACGGCTAAATTTTTTACACGCAGAGAGTTTATGTATTTTTTAGACGGTTTGTCTATATACATAACAAAGGTAATTGAAAAGTCGGCTTTTGCTTCTTCTTTTTTCCTATACAAAACCCCATGAAGTCAAACTAAAAAATTAATTGCGAGATGGAGGTAGTATTATCTGAATCTGATATCATCTAATTAGTTTTATTTAGGTCTGTGATCGGTTCGGTTCTTACTCAAAATTGGTGGAACCGTTGCAAAAACTTTCACTAATAAAATCAGTTCGGTTCTTATGTAAAAATCAAGAACCGTTATGCAACCGAACCAATACTAAACGATTCGTTTTTACTTTTATCGGTTCCTCGAATAATTTTTCCTCATCTAATAAATGAGCACATTATTTGCTTTCTACCACATAACAATGTAAAAAAAAAATCAAACACAAGTATTAAAATTTTATTTAAAGTTCTAATAACTCCAAACATCACAGCTCAAACTTAACTAAGTAAACGCTTAATAGAATAATAGAAAGTTTCAATTTTCATTTAATAAGTAGAACATAAAAATCGTAGTTATGTGGTAACAATGAAGGTTGTTCATCATCACAGTTGCAAGATATGACGTTCACTTCGAGTCTTTCAAAACATAAAAGATACATTGAGTTTGCATGTATAGTTATAGATGCATCATTACAGTCTATTTGCTAGTTTTTTTTTTCAAACAGGGGGGGTACAGTCTATTTGCTAGTATTACAATTTACAATAAATGTAATAGTTACGAATATCATGAAGATAGTGAAGTAAAATATATGCAATCAACTACAAGTTATTTGAGTTATTTTATATTTATAAAATATATGTGATTTAACAAAACTTGATTTTGTAAAAATGAGCTTAACATATTCAATCTCATGTGCAATATTGATTACTTTTGTTTTCGTTGGTTAAATTAGAATTGTTGGCTAATATCATTGATTGTACTATTATTGTTATTGTTGATATTATTGTTATTACAATCACTACTACTATTACTTTTTTTATTTTTATTTTTAATAACGGTTCCTTAACGATTACGTGCACACATTTTTTAATAGGAACCAGAAACCGAACTGTTAGTAACAACTAGGAACTGAACCATTAACAACTAATACCACATTTGTAGGAACCGAACCGGGTTATAACGGTTCGGTTCCAACCGGTTCTACGGTTTCCGGTTCCAAAATCTCACCCCTAGTTTAATTACGATTTGGTTAATTTGCTAAATGTGGTCCGGTATGTGATTGGAAAACATCAAAAGTGAAAATAATACTCCACTTCGTCCCTTAAAACTTTGTCAGTTCTCCTTTTTTAGATGTTCCTCTAACTTTGTCACTTTTCTTTTTAAGTAAAGAATTTGTAGTTCCAGTTAATTATCTCTCTTCTGCACAAACTTCAATCACACAGTTTTTATTTTATTAATTTTCGTGACAGTCAAACTTGACAAACTTTTAAAGGACTATATAACCAATTGGACCACGTAGTACTAGTACAACTATTTTCCTAACCAATTGGACGAGTCCCATTTAGAACGGCGAGCATTTTGCCAAACGGAATACATTGAAATAAAATGAGCGACACATGACCGTATTGTTTACAAATGACAAAAGTGACTTTCAACTTTTAAGTACAAACATGCAATGTGCATTGTGGCCCTAACTTGCTTCCACTTTTATTAACTTATTAAAAGGATCTGTTTGGAAGTTTGAACCCCAGTTTTACCAACAAAAGAAATGTGGAAGAAAAATACACTCAGTAAAATATTGTTCCAAGCACTTGAAATTTAATTTTTATGTTTGTTCAAACTCCATATATTTGACACTCCATTTGTCTCGTCTTGTAATATGAATTTTACATCAGCCTAAAATAAATTTTACATCAGCCCGAAAATATGGACCACTCGCTTTCACTTCCGCTAGTTGTTTTAGGATGTGTTTGACATTTAGCAATTAGCGAATAGAAGATTATATTAGCAGATTGTTAATAGCGAATTCAATTAGCGTGTTTGACTAGCAGAATATGTTATTAGTTAAAAAAAGATATCTGATAATTTAGTTGTTTGATAGTAGCAATTAGTAGGAAATGCGCAATTTCAAAACGCTAGTCCAAAACGTTGTTATTTGCGGCGTTTTCATTTTAGCATTTTCATCCAAAAATGCTAGGACTGAACAATTATTTAGTTTTCATTTAGCCTAGTCGACTTGCTAATAATACTAGCTTATATTTGACTCGCTTATTTTATAATACTACAATATAATTAATTTGACTCACTTTTTTTTGAAAATTAATTTGACTCACTTAGGGCAACTCCAACAAGCACCAATTTCTACACCAAAATGGTGTATTTGCCAAAAAAATGCTCCAATAGCAACACCATCTTTAACACCATTTCACCATTTTGGTGGAGAGCCTTTGGCTTTACGCCATATATGGTGTACACCAAATTCAACACCATCTTCTTTTTCTATTTTTTATTTATTTCAAATGTGACCCAAAGTTTTGATTATTATAGTTTTGACCCATTTTTAAAACAACAAATTAGGATGTTTTTACTTGGACTGAAATTTGTTGGTCTGGTCTGGTCTGATTTGGTCTGGTCTGATCTGAACTGATGTGGTCTGGTCTGATTTCTTCGTAATTTTATAACTATCTAAGTCTAGTCTAATCCGGTCTGATTTGATCTGGGACAAATTATAGTCCAAATAAAAACATCTGGATAGAACAACAAATTAAAATTATTAATTTGATACAAAATAAAAAAAATATAATAACATTTGTGAAATGCGTGAAAATACATATTAAAATGATGTATTTTAATTAGTGAAATGCGTGAAAATACATATTAAAATGATGTATTTTAGTTTGTATGTGTGAAATAATGTGTGAAATATCAAAATATTAAATGAGGGGCTAATGTATAAATATATGATAGTTAGATACTTAAATTGAAGAATGGTAAAAAGTTAGTAAAAAGAATAAAAAGAGAATATTCTTTTTTGGTGATGAAAATGGTGTAAACTGTTGGAGATAAAATACTGTTTGATGTGATGTTTACACCATTTTAGTGTAAAAAATGGTGTTAACTGTTGGAGATGGCCTTATGAATGATTAATTCGCTATTCTGATCAAGTCCATTGGTGCATGCTCCTTAAGCATAAGTCCGTCAAAATATAATGCATGTTTGGTAGACATAAGCTGATTACTCACACTTTCGTAATGTACTCTCTGAAAATGAATACTATATATAAATATTTAATGAATACATACCTACATGACCAATTATAGAGATATTACCCGAAAATCCCGAAATGGGACTAAATAGGTTTGAAAATTCCGAACATGGGACTGTCATGTTTTTATTCTCAAAATAGGACTAATTACTGTCATGTTTTGGCAGTACCAGACTTAAAACATGTCACTTGACAGTAATTACTCCTATGTTGGGAATCAAAACATGACAGTCCTATTTTGCAATTTTCAAACTGTTTTAGTCCAATTATATGCATATATGGTACCCGATGAGCGTTGTATAATAATAAAATAAACATCATATTAAACCAGAAAATATATGCAATTTAAAAATGAAGCTTCCTGTGATGCTACACAAATATATTAGTAATAACACTGTCATTTAAATGACAGAAAGGCGAAATCCCTTGTTTATGGGGTTAGCCAAAAGATTGAAAGTTATTAGGCCTCTTCACAGAGTAAAAGAATATTAATTAATTAATTTATTATTCTGTATTGAACTATTTATAAATTTACAGCTTTTCCTCCTTGAACTTGGCATAGTCCGCAAGCAACCCTTCACTAACATTCCTCTCCATCCTCTCTCCAATACTCTTTAGTATCTATGATATATAAACATGTATCAAATCATCAAAAATCATACCATCAAGGAGACAAGGAATTAAAAGAAATGACCGGCCATATATATAATGTAATGAGGAAATATTGAAAAGGGTAATTTTATTTCCATTAAAAGACATTATAAAATTTAAGGATTCATGTGTAAAAACGCTAATTATACCTCCATCTTATGAAAAAACACGCCCATTTAATTTATATCAACGGTCACTATTGTTATTTTGAAAACACAATTCAATATAGTCATTTCTGCATAAATAAAAGCGGTCAGTCGGTCACCGTGTATTAAAAGTGGCATTTTTATTATCTATTGTTGTGAATTTTTCTCTAATTATTGTGAATATACCAATTCAGTTATTTTCATGAACAAATATTGGGAAAATAATAATTCAGTATAGAATTCTTAAAAGTAAAAGTGACATCCTTATCTATTGCTTTTATATAAGTCATATGTCTGTCGTTTTCTAATTTAAACTCTTTACTTTTATTTCTGTTATAAATCAACCTTTAGATGTGAAGTGATTATTTTTCAATAAGCAGTAAAACATGTTTCTAATGTGTTCTATATCAGTTAAGTTTGAACAATAAATTTTGAACAACTAATTAATGCTCCACAATAACGGGCATATATTATTAGTAGACAACAATTTCAATCATTCCACTTAACAAACATTTCAATTTTTATAATTATGATCATAATCACACAGATATTCATTTTTTAGTGCATTAAATTTCGATTGTGACCGTTATTAGTCATGTAATTTCAAGCGGTCAATGGAAGTAATTACCAATTGAGCTGCGTCGTCATGAAGATGTTGAGGGACGAGAGCGAGAGCAGAAGGGCGAGTGAAGGTTATGCTCATCAGAAGCTGCCCCTTAATGCTGCTGCTGCTGCTTCCTGAAATCCCTTTTCTGTGTGGGTATACAACTCCTTCCACACCTAGCTGAAATCTTGTTTGCTTTATCAGCCCATCTATATTCCCCTTCAGCTCTGATTTCATCTGCACTCACCAATTCAGTGTATGAGTTTCTATAAGTAAGACTACATTTGTAATTTCCTAGTAGCATAGTACTTGTGAACGCCATATTGCCTTTACGCATTGGATCAGTATTTCACCCACAAAGTTGCTTCGTATACGCACTTCATGCGTACACGCTCGGATTCGTCTGTCACATACAATTTTTGTCGTTTTTAAGAAGAATTGCAAGTGATAGCGACAACTTTATCCCAAAACTTTAGCAGCCGTTGTCACAGACAATTCGTCTTAAAAACAAATGACAAAAGTTATTGTGACAAAGACAAAAATGGGGTGTGTACACCAAGAAATTTTCATTCACCCAATAAAAATATTTTCATTTGTATTGAAATATTTTAGTCTATTTTATCTGTTTAGCTGTGATTTAGTCAAACCGGTCTAACTTGATAAAGTATTGCTCTATTATTGTCTAGTTCTACTCTGATTCGATCAATATTGATTTTGTTTGATCAAATACTGAAATAGGTCTAATTGAATACATCTTTAAAACATGTGTTTTTCCCTAGTACCCACAGTCATATCAGAGTCGCACAAAAGAATCTAAATAATCTTAAAACCTTAGAACTCAACTAATCTTTCTAAACAATCTACTCGATCAAATAATCAAGTTTTAATGAGACCTACACTAAATATTTTTAAATTTCAACATCAAATTAATACTCAGGGAAGAATCTGGAGATCGTGTAATACACAAAAAGAGATTAAAAGGATTAATAGTATTACTAATTTGCACCTTCTAAAACTCCAATGTTAAGTGTACATGTGTAGTTTTAGAAAGTGGGTGACCAGCCCTTAAGAAGCTTGTACACACCAGTGAGAATAAAGTATAGTACGACCTATGATTTGTATTATACTCCCGCCCCCTAACTTTGTACCGTTTTAACTTTTCTGTCCGTCCCATTAAGTTTGTCTCATACCATATTTGATAATATTTGGGTGGTTACAATTCATTCTTACTTTATTCACACTTTATCAATTCAATATCAATCATACAATTCCACTTTTCCTTAAAAATTGTGCCACACTCCCTTGTCCCAAACATAGTGGGACGGAGGTAGTACTACATATTGATTTGTGAAGACAATACCATTTCTAGACGCGTAAAAATAATGATTCTAAATAATCTCTTCTCAGTTAAAAGATTCTGCCGCATCTTTTATGTGATCCTCAAATAAACATATGATGGGAATGCAGAAGGTAATTTAATTACATTATTACTTACATGTGTTCCTATTTTTAAATAAATCAGAGCACGCATACAGAAGTGAATAACGTATACTACGTATTATCCTACAAACTACTCTGTATTTATTATTTATTAATTAAAATAGGATGAATTGAAATATAGTACTCCTACCGATATACAAAATTAATTATAGGTTAATTACGTACGGCTTTTAACTCGAGAAGCTTGGAAGTATTTGGAGGAATGCCAGAAGGGTAACCCATTCCTTTGGCTTTGCACCTCATTCTCATGTTCACTACGGGCGATACGCTCAAAAATAAGAACTCTACCGGTGCCATGTATATCCTCCATTCCTCCTGATCCAACGGTCATAAATAATCAAACAATTTCCGTCAATCAATATAAAATGTGTAATATAATTTTCAATTCAATGTATGCCAAGATTAATAAAAATGTGTAATGCAAAAATTTGTTTATAAATTCTAGTTTAAAACTGAAATCAGTCCATTAAAAATATTCTAATTGCATCGTTACAAATACCTCACTAATTTGTTCTGGTTTTCTCTTTTCGTTAGGACATATGGCTTTGAGAACTCTTGACTTTTCTTCAAGATATTCGTCAAATGATGCCTACAAACATCACATTGCACTTATATATTAACAATTAAATAGGAAATTAACATACTTAGGAAAGAAAACTAACACATTTTTATCAATTACTCCGTATAACAACTTTTTTCTAAAATTGTGATTCATTTTAGAACCGACATTGAAATTGGTTGAATGTGCTGAATTAATAAAATGTTGCATGAAGTGGTTTAATTTGGTGAATCTGCTGAATTGTGGAAAAGTTATATGAAGTATTTAAAATATATTTTATTAGTAAAGTAAACAAAAGATTATATAAAAATGTTGCTAAAATAGCACTTTCATCATAATAGATAAGAAAAAGCGGTAACAGTTTAAATAAAGAAGTAATAATAAAACTATAAAAGTTTCTTTTCACACAAATGAGATGTAGGCATTGAACATACACTCACCAAATAAGAATTGAAACTTAAACCTTAATACATGGTCTATAGTAAAAAAAAAACATGGTCTATAGTCTATACTTCAGTGACGTTCCCAACAATTAATTGAATTAAATTGAACCGTCATCTAATCCCATGTCGATCTCAAATAATAGTTGTATGAACGGTGAAGGAATTGATATGGTTGGATTTTATCGGAAAAGAAATCAGGGGCAAATAAAGTAGTAACAGTGATTAAGTGGAACAAATAAAGTTGTTCGTGACTCGCCCCTAATTAAATTATTACTCCGTATTACATGCTAGCATGGTTTGAAATAGCTGTCCAAAGGGCCCGCTACCGCTACGGCCCGCTATTCGTGTGTGATTTCCAAATCACGGGAAAAATCCGCTACGCCGCCCGCTACAGCCCGCTATTGACATTTTCGGCAGTACATCACGAACCGTTTGATGTGTAAATATGTAAATGTCGTGTGAAAAAAATACATAATGGTGATGCATGGAGTGAAACTCAAAATTAAATGTTGTGTGAATGATGTGAAAAAAATACATTTATGTTTTGCGCAATTGAAAATATTTCACGCCGCTGCAACCACTACAGTCGGCTACATGCCGCTACAGGCCGCTGCCGCTACCGCTATTTAAAACACTTTTTAATATATAAAAGATAATAATATGCCGTATGTGGAGTATGATTATTCTTTTGGATATATAAATACAGTAATACACTTTTTAAGGTCGTTTATATAACAAATATAAATAGATAAAATGATTTAAAAAAAACGCATTTTCTTTTCTCTCTCTCAAAATTTACCATCTTTTTAATTTGACACCAATTACCACTTCCCAGTTCCCACCTTATTTTACTACGGTGTATAAAGGTTCCGACACGCTTTACTAAACTTACCATTAATTTGTTCCGTATTACTACTTTTTTTTTTAACCAGAAGGCAAAGCATTGCATATTTTATCTTACTCCTTTGGAATATTAGTGTTAGTTGGTGACGTTAAATTTAACTTATTTATTTAGATCTAGTAATATACGGTGTAATATTCTCTCGTCCCGAAAAGTTTATGATACATTAGAATATGAAAATTATACTCCTTTTCCTTATTTAAAATATTTTCATAAAAAATATAAAATTTATAAATTATATACAAATATAATTGGAGTAATTAAAATTATTGTTCAAAGTTTACCGTGACAAATTATTGAAACGGAGGTAGTAATAATTAAAATATGAAATTACTTAACCACGGAATTGTTGCCAACAAAAAATAATGGAAGAAGAAAGTATTTGACATTAAAATAAAATAAAAATTACTAATATTACTCGTAAAAAAGTGATATAAAAATGTGATTTAGCAATTACTCCGTATTAGTTAATACTAGTATAATTTTACATTGTATAATTACTAAAATGTAAACTTTAGACACAATTATAATCATAAAAGTTACTATGTCACATTTTCTCCATAACTTTTTATTAGTAATATTTTAGAAAAAATATCTTAAGAAATAAATACTCCATATTTTCTTAAAACAATAAATAATTTTTTTCTTTGCCTTCAAGTTGATCGATATATTTTTCTAAACGAAATTCTTTTTATATAAAATTGTTTTATTTATTCAAAAAATAAAAAAAAAGGTAAAAAAAAAATATGAATCCACACGAAAATATCATCATTTAAAAACCATTGAACAAGAAAGTTAAAAAAAAACTTTCGTGGGAAAAAGAATTATTTTACCTGTGGTGCTTCATAGAAGGGAATATCAACGGTGATTCTGAAGCTGTACGTTTGCCGGTTCGAATCGGTGCCGTTGATCGACGGGCGGTGGGCGTTTACGATTTCAAGGCTGCGTTTGGGAGGAGGAAAAACGACGTTAGAATATTTGAAAGAAACCGAGCTGGTTGGCAGAAGCGGCGGAGGTGGCGGCGGCCGTTTCCAAGAAAATATCAGCTTACGGTTGTGAGAAGCACGGTTGCCGGCTGGGAATTGCCACCGCCGTCCGGGTAGAAGTGATAAGTTATTATAAACAGTATAACGAGTGAGAGAAGACGGCGGCGGCGGCTTAGCGGCGGAGAAGGAAGGGCTCATGGTTCAGATCTGTAGCCAGGCAGCAGCTTAGTGGTGGCTGCGCTGGCATGAAAGTTTCATGTACGTGTTTCTTCCTCGCGCTCTCGTTTGTACCGTACACTTCTGAAGTTTCTTTATGTGTTTAAAAAATAACACTCCGTGGAATGAAGCATTATTACTATTTCAGGCCCTATAAATATCGCTAATTGTGACGCATTTGTTTCTCTCTTTGGAGATTTTATTTTCCATTTGTATTTATACAAAGTCTATGAAAGTGTAATTGTTAGAGCATCCACATTCATGCTAATGATCCGAAATAATCTCATTATCTAATGACATATGCTTCCTTTATCCCAAAAAGATTGGTCAATTTGACTTTTTTTAGTCAATGGTGATCAACTTTGACCAATGATATCTTGTAATACAAAGTTAATTAAAATATAAAAATTATATGAGCATATTCTTTATTAAAAAATCTTTCATAATAGTATAAAATTTAATTAAGCACAAATATAATACCTAAAATCATTGTCTAAACATTAACTTCATTGATCAAGAAAAGTCAAATTGATCAATCTTTTTTGGACGGGGGTAATAGATTTTTTTCAAAATAATTTCAAAATTTTTAAATTACATCATTCACCATCTCAAAATAATCACATCTTTTGTGGTCCTGCACTGACTAATTAATACGAAGTACTAGCTTCACAATAATCTTGAAATAATCTCGATTCATATTTCAATCCCGGATTATTTTATCAATTAATCTCACCAAATAATCTTCATCACCCAATCATGATCCAAAAAATAATCTTCCACATCATCATTTTAATCATCTAATAATCCTATGGATTGAGATGCCCTTAAGTTCGATTTCTAGCAGCTGCGACGATAGTTCACTATGTAGAATGCATAGGACTTGTGCAAGTATTTGGGTCAGGGACGAGATGTCATCCTTTACTGAAAATCCTATTACTTTCTCCAATAGGAAGAATACATGACCAAGCCAAGATAATTAACAAAATATGATGGTTTAATGAAAATTATTAATGATTAAATGCAGTGGCGGAGCCAGAGGTTTGTCCAAGGAGGGGCAAGCCAAAGACTAAAAATTTTAAAATGCGTGTCCAAAATATAATAAGAACAACAATAGCGTAATAAATTAACAAAAAATTATAGTTCACTACATACTACTTGATTTACTTCTGCAACCTAGGCAAATCAATCCTACAAGTTTTCATATTTTGAAAATGCTGCATAATAGCTTCATTATCAATTGCTTGAAAAATGTCTCTTTCGATATAGCAAACCAAGCAATCCGTAAGATAGTCATCTTTCATCTTATTGCGAAGATCTGTCTTGATAATATTCATCGTTGAGAAAGCTCTTTCAACTGTAGTTGTTGCAACTGGTAACACCAGAGCCAACTCAATAAGACGATAGACCAAGTGAAAAGATTTGTGAATTGTAAGCTCAACCATCTTCTTAGACACTTCACCAATACTTTGTTCTTTAGGCTTTGGGCTTGCCTAGGTGGCTTGGGCTTTAGAATTGTTTTTTTTTTTTTTTTTTTTCATTTTTCTACTTACGCCCGTTTTTTTACTTAGCCTTAGACTAGATGCTCATTTGTCTTACTAGTATGTGTACCCGTGCACCGCACGGAAAAATATGTTCTAGTGTTTGTTATGAAAAATATGAATGAAATTAAATTTTAAAAAATAGAAGTGATACTGAATCACATGTGAACTCATAAACTTTGCAATTCAATGAGTTATATTGAGTCGCTAAGAAGGAATTTAGAAATCATTAAGATTATTGTTGAAAAATAGAATTGAGTAGAGAATATTACCCAAAATAGGACTAAAAAGGTTTGAAAATTCCAAAACAGAACTGTCATATTTTTATTCCCAAAATAGGACTAATTATTGTCATGTTTTGGCAGTATCAGATTTCAAACATGGCAGTATTTTCCAAACTTGACAGTAATTACTCCTATTTTGGGAATAAAAACATGACAGTCCTATTTTGGAATTTTCAAACCGTTTTAGTCCTATTTTGGGAACTTTTCCAATTGAGTATATAGTTGCATCGAGGATGCGCGGAAGCTAGACAAATGAATCTTAACTTAGGAGAGAGATATTAATGAAACTTGGACAAAAGAATGAATCGACCTTTACATCCATGTTAATGTGATAGACCTTGTGATCAAGGAGCTGTTATGCATGTCCAAATTTTATTATTTATTTTTATTTTATTCAGACCATATCAGAAGATTAGATCAGACGATACAAATCAAATTAAATCAGATAAAAAATATCCACATCAGACATGAAATTTTCAGATCAAATGGATATGATATATTACTATTATTATTATTATTATTATTATTATTATTATTATTATTATTATTATTATTATTATTATTATTATTATTATTATTATTATTATTATTATTATTATTATTATTATTATTATTATTATTATTATTATTATTATTATTATTATTATTATTATTATTATTATTAAATACCACCTTCGTTCCCTTTTTATTGTCCCTTTACGGTTTACGATGTTTGACCGATGATAAAGCAAACGGATCCCTGTCTGCACTCAAATTATTTTTAGGGGAAAAAAATTACATATTTAGAAACTACATTAAAAGCTTTATAAAGTCGCAAAAACCTGAATCAAATTTGATAAAAATTTTATATATAAAGTAAGAAAATAAGAGTGATTTGTGTTGACCAAGTGAATAGGAACTGTGACAATATAAAGGGGACGGAGGGAGTAATTAATAATATCAACATTATCATCGTCATCATTATTAGGAGGTGACATGATCTGGTCCAATTGGTAACATTATGTTTTATATGTATTTTATTAAGTATGGCTTTCAAACCCTTTCGTATGTAAAATTTGGACGCATCCAAAAGTCTTTCAAACTTATAAATCAACATCTTCTTAATTGTTGCATGAATCTTGATTCCCTAGAATAAGCAATATAATTACAATAAAAAAAGCAATATAATTACAATAACGGGAATAACATACTTGATAAAAATAATAATTGTAATGATTAATTAATAAAGTAAATCAATGTGCTTAGTAAATTGGGATTGAAATAGTTTTACTGGTTGATGATTTATTAAAAACATGCCTAGAGAAAATGTAATTTTTGAAGAAAATTTTAACTAAAACATTTCGGGAATTTTTAATCTAATTAATGTGTCTATTTAGGTGCCATAGGAGATAAGTAGGTGGGCAAAACAACATGTAAAGCGAGTGCAATAAGAAGTAGGATAAATGCCTTAAAAGGAAATATGATGACATAAGTAATTGATGTATTATAAGGGGGCATCGTTTGCTTATGAGGGGAAAAGATCTTGTCCAGCCTTCTGGACAGGATCCTTCGACCGACCGACCGCCGTTTGGGAAGATTATCGGTGGAAGTCAGTTAATTAAATTATTGAAAAAACCGCTTTTATGTATATAGTTTGGCACAATTTGTTTCAATAATTTAATTAACTGATTTCTCGATTAAATATAAAAGCGGATTTTTTTTCAATAATTTATTTAACTGATTTCCCGATTAAATATAAGTTGATATTTTGTGGATACAATCTAAACTTCATGAAGAACAATAGAACATGTTCAAAAACTTCAACCGGAAACCGACCCCATTGACGTCGGTCGGATAGAAGGTCATGTCCATCCGACTGGACAAAACCATAACTGCAATACGAAGTATATATATGTGGAGTTTGTTTGGAAGGTGAATGCACTTTTCTTGATCATTTTAAATGCTTATAATTGATGCATCTAACGTGTGTTAAGAAGCTCAAAAGGTTTGCTTTGAGCTTCATAATGATATTGTATTAATATGGAGCTGCCACTTGGCGATTTTTTGCATGAAGAGAGTGCCACATGTCAAATTTTTCTCTAAAGCATTCCACAAAGGTTTGCTTTATTATATTATATAGATTTGACTCATTAATCCCCTTTTATTCTATATTTCATTTTTTTTACTTTTTCTGAAAAAACTTTTTTATTTATTTAAACACTTCATCTTAAAATAACCTTAAGTTGTACTTATTGTTTTTAAAAAAAGAAGCCGGGGCAAGAAACATATTATAAGTAATACTAGTAAAAAAAATTGGTCGGAGCGGGGGCGCTTGCCCCCCTAGCTCCTCCCCTGATTAAATGTATGTGTTTGCAAAGGTGACAATTGAAACGTTGCAACTATGAAGTCTGGAAGTATATACTACGTACGTACATAACACTACACTTTTATGTTTTAGTTATTTTATAGTAAGAGGTTTACATTAAAATTTAAAATAATAAGAACATGCAAAACAATTTTCAAGCAATTATAATTAATCTGATCGCAATCACTAGGAATAAATATAAAGTGAGTCACTCGCGAACTTAATCAAGAACTTAATGAATTTATGCAAAATTAATCGCCTCAACCAATTTCAATGTTACTAAAGAGACTCTTAATTTCAATCATAGTTCCAGAAAAGCATAAGCTCCATAGTTCTTAGGTATTGATTTATTTCTTCCATATCTTTTGGACATTAAAATACGCAGTATTTCGTTATTTATTTCAATTCTACTTTTTACTAAGTTTTACGTAATATTTACTTTAAATGTCATCTAATATTTCTTATTTTCCTTCTATTTGATCATTTCTTACTTTGCTTCGACCTTTTATACTACGTACTACTAGTATGTGTTATACGTAGTATACGGTTTGGTCTCGATTCGTACCGCGAACACATCTACTCTTATATGTCCATAAGAATAAGAATACATAGGACAACTACTAAAATATTGAAAGAGTATTATACTAACTGATTAAATATTGCATCACAATATATAGCTTTTAGTACTCATATTTCAAATGAGCTTTTGTCCCAATGTAGTCTACTAGTCTGGACCGCCTTGCCACCTCCTAACCCGCCTAGTCGTCTGCCTAGGCGACCGCCTTGCCACGAAATCGGGAATTCCATCCACCGCCTAGCGATTAGGTGGGGCCTGGACCAATTTTTAGAATCATGATCATGTAAATAACAAAAGAAATAAAATTTTCCCCGAATAAGAGTGTATGAGTTCTATTATGGAAGTAAAACAATAATACTCTTATTTAAGCACATTTGATACGTAGTATGCTTTAACTTTCTTTAGGAAATTTTTTCTTACTATAATTATGAATTTGAATGGAAATGATTTTAATTTAAGCCTAAAGGGTCAAATAGGCCCTTGAACTGACTTAAAGTGTTCAATTAGCCACTTATATAAGAGGTTCTGCCCGGCCGTCGCTAATTGGGGTGGTTCCCGGTGGAATTTTTTGATGCAATTTTTTGAGCATCTTCTTCATTAAGTCTAGTTTACCCATACCAAATTTAAGCTAAAAATTCAACCGGGAAGGCAGTCAAATGATTTTCCGAAATGTACTGCGTTGTTTAACTTCGCAGTTATCTTCAAAAAATCATTTGACTGCCTTCCCGGTTGAATTTGTAGCTGAAATTTGGTATGAGTAAACTAGGCTTATTGAAGAAGATGCTTAAAAAAATTCATAAAACAATTCCACCGGGAACTGCCCCAATTGGCGATGGCGGGGTAGAACCTCGTATATAAGGGGCTAATTGAACACTTTAAGTCAGTTCAAGGGTCTATTTGACCCTTTAGCCTTAATATAATACTACATTACTCCGAATCTAATTAACCAACGTTACCCTTAGGTTCAAAGTGTGCAACTTGCCTAAGAGTCATTCCATTGGTGTGGGAGGTGAGAATTGCGTGGAAGGAAGATAGATAAGTCTAAACGGTACGCGCACTAAAATTATTGGGAAAAGTACAAAAAAACGTACATGTGATATGAGCCATTTTCAGATAGGGGCATGTGTTTCATTTTCTAACAAAGTGGGTCATATGTTTCAATTCCGTTATCATAGAAAGGGCATGGCGTCTAACGTCATTAGAAAAATTAACCCCGATTTTAAAAAGTCTCAAAAAAATTAAAAGAAAGATACTGGGAGGTGCGCCTCGTCAAGGAGATCAACAAACTATTTTTATTTTTTTGTTTCCAGCCACCATATCTCTAGAAAGTCCACTAGAAAATTGATATTAGCGAATTTGTTTTTTAAAAATAATCCAAATAGAGCCGGAAAATCCAAAGAGAAAGATAGTTTGTTGATTTCCTTGACGAGACGCACCTCCCAGTATTTTTCTTTTAATTTTTCAGAGACTTTTTTAAATCGGGGTTAATTTTTCTAACGGCGTTAGACGCCATGCCCCTACTATGATAACGGAATTGAAACACATGTCCCACTTTGTTAGAAAATGAAACACATGCCCCTATCTGAAAATGGCTCAAACCACATGTACGTTTTCTGTACTTTTCCCAAAATTATTTTGGAAATGCTAGTGAACGACCGAAAGGTCTGGCTATTTTACTAAAATTACAAAGTCCCTGAAAGTCGTGATGTAAAGGTTGCTCAGTCTTCTCATTAAATTTCATCGAACACGTAACTTTTCTAGCTTATCAAACTTATCAGTCAACATTTTCACCCAACACATAACTTTTGATTTCACGCGCTGAATTGTGTAATAATAACAAAAAATAAAGTTGGAGTTACTTTTCCGACTGTATTGGTTGAAGTTACTGTATTGGATCATTTTAGGATTTTTAGCTATTTTTTAATATAATTTTGATAGCTTCCTGGTGCTTAGAGAGAATAGAGAGCTGAAATATATATATATATATATATATATATATATATAAAGAGAGAGAGAGAGAGAGAGAGAGAGAGAGAGAGTCAGAGATAGAGAACTTGCAATAAATGATTTTAGAACCCCTACAACTACCCCAAAGATGGATGTTTATAAGGAGAATATGGGTTGGGCTCGCGGGCCTTGGGCCTACGAGGTCTGATTACATTAATGGGCCACAAATGGGCCGTTTACAAGCATAAGTGATCCATTAATAGAGTTACTGGAGACGCATAGAATAATGGTTTCGAGGTGCATGGGCACCTCGGTCTTGGTGGTGGACGCACCAACGTGCCCTCCCTCCGAGGGGGTACCTGGGCTGGGCTCTTCAAAGGGGCTTCACGTCTACGGGTCAGTCTTGGGCCGCTTTGGTGTCCAAGAGTATATGGGCTGCGGATGAGGGCCCGTATAATTTTTTCATATTAGGATAATCAGCCAATACAGTCACTTCAGCCAGAACTTCATAAATATCAGGAGAAACAGCTGATTCAGCTGATTTCAATGTTACCAAACGCGCTATATATAATTTTTTTTGGAAATCCAATAACTTCATTAACTCAAATCATGTCTCGGAACATGAATAATACAATCAGGTGGATTATCAATCCAAATACTGACAGACCCAGAATAGTCTTCCCGTGCTAGAATATGGGCAGCTTGATTCGCTGAATGGTGCACATACAGGACACTTATATTAGCAAACTTAGGCATCATGTGTCTAATATTCTTAAATAAATATAATATCATTACAATGAATTCTCTCCTTTGTGAAGCCCTTTCACAATATGTTGAGCGTCTGATTCCACGATGATCATTTGCCATCCACGCTCCATAGCCCATCGAACAGCTTCCTCTATTGCCAGTGCCTCTGTCGTCCCGGGTGAGAAGCGTCCCCATCTCCTCACGTTCTTCCAAGGTATGAATTCTCCACAACTATTACGAGCAATCAACCCCAATCCTCGCGTGTCTTCCTTGGTCGGTATGGAGGCATTAACATTGATTTTCACAAAGTCCGCTTCTGGAACCTGCCATTTTCCTCTCTGCCCCGGTTTTGTTCTCTCATGTAGCGTGGATTGTTGCACTTCCCGCCAGCCCTCCAGCATGGCATCGCCAGACGTGATGACTCCCTTCCAATCCGGGTTTAATTTCTTTCGCACTTTCTCATTACGGGCTTTCCACAAACTCCAGCTAGTCATAGCAAATTGTTCAAACTCAGCTCTCGTACCACGTTCTGCCACCAAACTAGCCCATTCCCCAAAGCTAGCAGCTGCAATCTGAAGGAAATTCCGACCCCTGCTACGCCAAACCGCATTAACCAAGGAACAATCCCGGAGAATATGGAGTGAAGTCTCCTCCTCATTCCCGCATATCGCACATCTCGGCCACACCGGTACCCTTCGTTGAACAAGCCACTGCTTACATGGTAGACAATCAACACAAGCTTGCCAGAAGAAAACCTTCACCATCGGTGGAAGCTCTAAATTCAACATTTTTGTCCAGCCCATCTCCGGTAATACGCTACATATGAGCCTCTAAATTTCACTTCTTTTATTATATTACCATTATTACGTACTACATACATCTTTTATCGATTATAATTGTTTGACTTTTTCACCATTCATGTATTCGAATTTGACCACAATTATTTATTAGTTGTGTCCGGCCGTCGCCATTTGGAGCGGTTCCCGGTGGAATTTTTTGATGAAATTTTTGGGGCATCTTCTTTATTAAGTCTAGTTTACCCATACCAAATTTCAGCTAAAACTTCAATCGGGAAGGCATTTAAATGAATTTTTGAAGATAACTGCGCAGTTATCTTCAAGACTTCATTTGAATGTCTTCCTGATTGAATTGTTAGCTGATATTTGGTATGAGTAAACTAAACTTAATGAATAAGATGCTCAGAAAAATTCATCAAAAAATTCCACCGGGAACCGCCCCAAATGACGACGGCCGGACAGAACCTTCTATATATTGGACTAGGCATGGCCTCGGTTCGGGCCGCCCGGCCCGGGACCGGCCCGACCCGCTACTGTGCGGGCCCGGCCCGGCCCGGCCCGGTTTTCCGGGTCCGGGTCCGGTTCGGGCCGGAGGCCCGGGGGTGGGGCGGTTCCGGGCTCGGTTCATGGGTTTGACGGCCCGGCCCTGCCGGTTCGGGCCCGGCTCCGGGCCAAATCTATTTTTTTTTTTTTAATTTTTTTCATTTTTTTGGGCTGTTGGGCTGTTGGGCTATCAGTTTAGGCCGGTTTGGGGGGGTGGGGGTGGGGGGGGGGGGAAGAAAGGAAGAAAAAAAAAAAATAAACCGGGTGGCCCGAACCGGCCCGGCCCGGTCCGGCCCGGAACCGGACCCGGGACCGCCCTACCCCGGTTCGGGCTCGAGCCTGCTATTACTGAACCGAGGCCCGGCCGGGCCTAGGCCCGAGGCCCGAAGCGGCCTGGTTCAGTCCACCACTATATTGGACCTTTTTATGTAAGTTCGAGGGCCTATTTGACCATTTTTCCCTTTTATTTATTTAATTAAATGTAATGGTTATTGGTTTTGTACTTTTGTTAGGACAAAAACTCATTAATAAATATTGATCCTATTAAAATTAGAATTCATTACAACAACCACAACATTCCCCAAGTGCCTCAAAGGGAGTCAAAGGCTCCCAACAACATTAGAATTCATTAATAAGATGAAATTTCATTGTGATTGCGATAATGTTTAGAATTTCTTTAACTTTCAATTAATGATTAACTTGCGATATTGTTTAGAACTAGAACTAATCTCATCCTTCATAATTCATACACCTCTTTCAATATTCAAAATTAGACATAACTTCCCAAGCAAAAAAAAAATCTAGCTTTCTCTTCGCTCTTTAGGAGAGCAAAAATCAAGTAGATACTAAAGGCAGTAAGGGGCAAGGATTAAACACTCAATTAAATATCCATTTAGTTCTTATATTATTCATTATTTTGTCATAATAATAAAATCTGTTTGTGAAAATTTCAAACTTGTTATACGGTACTTTCAACTTGAAAGTTTCAAGGTATATTATATAAATTTCCTAACACTCAGATACGCTGGAGCTGCTCCAGTTATCATGTAGATGTAATTGTGATACTGGTGTAAATATCTCAACTAAAGATGTAGAGATCCATGGCGGAAAGCTTATTAGTGTTGGACTGTTGGGTTGCTCTTCTAATTCATTTTGAGGCTACGATGGCCCCTCATCAAGGCAACTTTCAGCCCAAAAAATTGATTATATAGTTGCATTGCAAAGGAGTTTATTTTTTGAGGGGATGTTTTTGCTGGTGTTGTAAAATGTCACATTTCCTTGAACTAATCTTGAATGTTAGATCTTACGGAGTACAATTTTATCCACTTTCAGGACTGTACTCATTAGTGTTGTAAAAAAAATTAGGCCTTGAACTTAGGAAAATGGGGAAAGAAAATGGGAGGATGCAGATAAAGGGCAATTTTGGAATAAAAGAAAAATTGCGAACAAAAAGTATGTCACTCATGATATTCTTTTTCTCATCCTCAGCTTACAGAGTTACAGACAGAGTGAGACATTTCTCATTATCTCATAGATAATAAAAAGTTACAGTATGGCAACACATTAGAAAACAAAGATAGAATGATAGATACATTCAGTGAGTAAGGCACCTTTTGGAATCAGGATAATCCTAACGAAATAAATCTATATCTATAAAATAGGGAGCGAAATGACACAATTCATAAAATAAAAAGTAATGAATATAAGTTGGTCACCGAAGGGGTTTGGAGAGCCTTGAAAATGAATTGTTTACATACTATGGGTGGCTGGTCATAGGCTTTGTTAACATATTTGTAATGTTCTATTGACTTCTTTCTGTTAGTACTGTAACAGCTCGTTGAAAAAGGAAATTATACCTTCTCTAACAAGCCATGGCCAGTATTGAAAGAAAACTCATCCCAAAGCTTCTTTAGAACTGCCGGAGATATGCTTTGAGCCCATATGTTGTCCAGTGTGTGGCTGTTGGCAAGCTCACTTCTCACGTCTTGTTGACTCTTTTAAAGACTTCAATAAAATCTGACGACAAGATGTATGTTTTGAAGAACTTGCATACAATCATAGGGTTGGGGGTATCTATTTGGGCTGTAGTATGAACCAACATAATAAAGTTGCGGAAACAACTAACAAGAGCAGGTAACAGTTTTATAAAATTTTCCACAACACCAGAGCTTGCAAGTCCTACACCGAAAATATGTAGAGTAATAAGTGGAAAAACCATCCAAACAAACACCAGTATAATTCTTACAAAAAGGGCATACAATGATATAGAGAATTTTCAAAAAAAAGTAGGAAGTTTTCAAAACTGTTAAAAATATCTACTAAATTAGTATAAAATGCTTTTTTTAACCCAAAAATGCTAGCAAAACCATCAAACTTCCCAGACTTTAGTGATGGTTTAAACAGAAAAAATAGCAACAAAAGGAAGCTTCCTAGATATTGGTCATCATCATCATCATCATCATTACCCCAGTGCCGCAAAGGGTCCTCCCACCTACGGTGGGGTAAGGGGGTCAGATGTACGCAGCCTTACCCCTGTACTAAAGCACAAAGAGACTGTTTCTGGATGACCCAAGGTGAAAATCGCGTCGAAAATTGGATGCACTGACTGCTGCTTCATAACAAAGAAGCGCAAACAGTTTGGTGAGCCATTTTGCTTTATTCCATCATATTCTCAAGCCAAAGAATACTGAATCTTTGGTTCCATTGCAAATCATGGAAATCTAGATATTGGTGATTGTAATGGAACAATTTTGCCCTTAGACCATACCTTTGATATAAGAAGTATATGTCGTCTTGTTCATATGGACAGATACATAGATCTGCTTATTCTTTAGAAACTGGTTACAAGTGGAAAAGCTTGTACACAAACACCAGTATTATTCTTAGAAAATGGCGTCTAGCAACACCAGGAAACCTCCTAGAAATTGTCGCTGGTCTTAACAGGGAATTTTTTTCCCTTGAAGCATAACTTTGAAATGAGGACCGTAAGTTTTTTTATTCATATTAATTGACATATACATATGCCTTCTTATTCAAGAAAATGGTCAAAATGGTACAAGAACTTGTTTCAAGTGGAGTAAGTAGTACTCCATCTTACGCTTAAACTACAAAGTACATGAACTTGCATTTTTAAAGTTGCTCAAGTACATTTGCTCTGTTAAAACATTAAAATGGCTGATCCGACCAAATTATCAGTTTGTAATATATCGTTGCAGTCCAAGTCATCAAATAATTAATCTATAAACTCTAATTTCCTGTAGTTGACTCTTTTCCACCTTCGCTCATCATTTTATATTTCTCATATTTGCTCTCCCTTCTCTCGCAATTCATCTTATATTTCTTTCGTCTTCTCTCCAAGAAGAGAGCCAGGGGACTGGGCCGGACTGGAGCAGTACAAAGAATATTTTTGAAAAAAAACATAAAATTTTTACTTTAAAATTAAAGTGTTTTTTTAAATTTGAGGATGGTCAGGGCCTCGGTTGGCCCCCTCTAGCTCCGCCCGTGTTGCTCTCCTTCTCTTTCGTCTTCTCTCCTTGCTATCTCGTTGGCTTCTTCTTTTATTTGATATCGGTCCATTTTTATTATAGCCAGAGAAGAAGAAAATAAAATAGAGCAAAAAGAAGAAGCCGATAGGAGAAATATAAGATGTAGAGCAGAGAGAAGGGAGAGCAAATGAGAAAAATATAAGATGAAGAGCGAAGGTAAAAACGAGTAGACGGAAGGAAAATAGAATTTATAGATTAATTATTTGATGACTTGGACTGCAACTGTATAATACGCAACGGATAGTTTGGTCAAGTCAGCTATTTTAACATTTGGACAAAGCAAATGTACTTGATTGACTACAAAAAAACAAGTTCAAGTACTTTAAAATTTCAAGATGAAGTACACTTACTCCTATCGATACAACTTCATATACCATTTTGACCATTTTGTCCTTATTCTAAGAGCCTTGTTTTTTCGTTTTCAATGTTTTCTTCCACTTGTAACCATATGCACTTTGATATTTATTCACTAAAACACTGCAATCTTTTTAACACCAAACTCTTGTCTTTGCTTTGGCATTTATAGTGAAACACTAGTACATTAAGATTGTTTGCAATAGACCCTATTCACTGTGTTTTTTTAGTGTAGTTACGAAAACTAAACTAATTCTATTCTAATTAAAGAAAATTAGGAGAATATATTTAGATTATGGAGCAGATTTCATTTCTAAGAATTTTTTAGAGTAAATTTTCTAAACTGAGAAGTATCAAGTATGAGAGTCTATTTGTTTGATAGTTATTGTTAGTTTATGCGACTTATCGAAATTAATTAATTTGTCATGCAATTGTCAAGTAAGCCTATGCTAAATTTAATACCCAGACCACCTGGTGAAGAGTATAAGTATTTCTGTCAACAAATAGGCACACAAAACTTACGACAAACATTGTATAAGGTAATCAAAGAAATAATAGAAATTTTATGTTAGTTACTTAGTTCTAGTTTTTCATTTGGATTAAAGAGATTAGTCCATGTTTACCAACATCTATTGACTAAGCTAAGGCATTTTAGCGAACACTTTACAACCATGTCAAAATTCATAACTAAGTGAAGCAGAGATTATTTGAACAACATCGAAATCAAAGGCAGAATATGAGGAGGCAGAAGCCGATGCAGTTTTGTGAATATATTTTAAGCGTACAGATGTGAGATATCAATTACAAATTTACAATACTACTTGAATCTCAAGTAACTCACTATTAATTTAACAGGAAGAAGAACTAATAGGGAATTCATTAGAGACTGGTTAAACATCAGACTTTCAGTTGCAAGTGAATGGAGCTATTGAAAAGAAAATGTAAATAATACCTTGTATGTGGAATGAAATGGTAGCAAAACCAAAGAGGAAGAGAACTTTGTCACCATGTCATTTACCCTGAAATATATGAACTGTAGTGGGATGGGGAGTCATCTTACTTTTGAATAACTGCAGCGTGAATAGACACAAAGAAGCCATTAGTGGTTTGTTATCTTGTTAATGGTGCTGATTCGGAAAGAAAATAAAATAATAAGTAGATAGTTTTTTGCTTACTTGACTAAAAAGTAGGTTAGCAAATATTGTCTCTTTCAAATGGGCCCTTAGAATCTTAGTCAGAGTCTCTTCTAAGTTGTTCCACCCGAAGCTGCAATGAGAACACTTTCACCAGGGATCGGACTTTGTCCCATTTGGACGTGCTGCTGCTGCTCTTCCAGTTCAGTTTGGGAAAAAAATTCTGATTGAAGAGATGGGGCGATATTGTTCACATGCAGCCATGTCAACTGCCAGAAACTGTCACCTTCTATAAGTTTACTGGGTGACAGAATCCCACTTGTCTTCATGACAAGCAAAATGTTCTTGAGTAGCTCCGGAACAAGTTCAGTGATTTTCCCACTTTTCTTCCCCCGATATTTCACCTTCATACATCTCTCTAAGCAATCCAGAACCGTTAACCATAGTGCCTGGAAAGACGAGTCCATGCGGTAAAGATCCTCAAGACGCTGCAAGAAGACTTTTGACATTAGCTTCAATGACAAAACAATTGATCCTTCAATGCTACTATGATCCTTCAAGGAATTATTACGGTGCACAAGTTCAAGCAGATCATCTGTTAATGTGAATATGAGTTGATTGAAGCAAAGTAACCACAAGTCATTTGGAACACTGATTCCATCAACTTCGGTCAAACATCTTTGTAACATCAAAATTGCATGGTTTCTGACAACTTCTCTAGAATCCAAACACACTTTTCTTATCCCTTGTACCAACCTCAGCCACATCTCCCAAATATCCTGACACATCTTTGATGCGGCATCCCCCTCCAGTGCTTCTTTTGTCTTGTGGGACCACCTCACGAGACAAACAACCGAACCCGCCATTAGATCCAAGGATGTTACAGACCGGTCGACGCTCCCGACCTGGTGCTCAGCAAACTGCCTGGCTGCGTTGATGCAGAGAACGTAGTTTGCTGGTAAGAGGTGACGGGCCCCATCACCAGACATGATGAATGATAGCGTCTCATAACCCACATCTGACGCTTCTGGATGTCGGGACGTGAGCGAGAGCAGCGAAATTATTGTGCGCCACCCCATGTGGGATCGTATCTGTACGGCATTTGCTCTCACGAGACGCATCACTTCCTCCGTGATGTGTGGTAGGTAAGCGTCGGCGACCCGGGCGTCAAGTTTCAACACTAGTTGCAGAGATGTGAGAAGCTCATCGGTCAGGTTCTCTTTATAAGGAAGCAACCGCTGGCATATTCGTAACAATCCAAACACAGCCTTTTCAATTAGAGGACACGGCATTATGGTTGATTGGACTATACTGGCTATATGGTCATAAACACCTTGCCAGAGAAGCATAATCCGGTCCCTGTTGTTTAATGTTATTGCAATTAACAACTCCAGGCAAAAAACAGCAGTCAATTCATCACTTTCCTTTCTCCCTTTAGAAGAAAGCCTTCCTGCAGCCGAAACAAGTGCCTGAACGAGCTGCAATAGTGACTCTGCTTGCAGAAACTTACTGTCAGCAAAGATGTTATCAATGTGACAGCTTTGGATCATCTGCAGCGTCCGTTGACGAGCATCAATCTGTTCCTCACTGGGATCAGCTGCAGCATCTTCAATAATATCCAGAGACAAAAACTGGCTAAACCGGCCCATTAAGCCAGATGATTTCCTATTAGAAGCGGCTAGTGGTGGTATGTTAGATCCTGTAGAGAGAACCGCAGCAGATCTCTTTTTATCCACATCAGTAGACGATGACTCTGGGTCATCATCAGCTGAATCACTGAGGATACGTGAAGGAAGAAGTCCAAACCTGTGCAAGCTTAAAATGCAATCCAAAATGTTCTTCCAACCCAAGTGAATGTGGTCACCATACTCGTTTGCTATGGTAAAGACTGCAGTGGAGGCCATCCTCGCCTTGCTGTCATCACCGTATCTAATAATGAAGTCTTCAGAGTAGGACGGGAGCAACAAGTTGGTGAATTTGCATAGTGACACCACCAAATCATCCAACACTTGATCGAAGTTATATGATGCTGAAATCTTAGCAACAGCCAAGAACCCATCAACACAGGTTTGTAAGATGCCTTCCCCTTCTACATGATCAAACACGACAGAGATGGCAGCAACTATGGGCCCAGATAGTATTGAAAAGAGATGTTTGTCAACGTAAGGTTTCTCATCACAGACTATGAATGGGGCAGTGTGGTTCGATCTGTGGACAAGACCAACCCAGTAGCTTGGCATCATGACGGCAGAGGCTACATTACCTGCATCTGGGGTCATCCGGATCTCGCTCTCACATATGGAGTGGTAAAGCTCCGACAGTAACTCTCTGGGAAGGTCCTGTCCCCCATTAATCCTCCGGTTATTACGGATGAAATCTTCTTCTGTCATCTTCTTCTTAACCTGTGAATTGTGTTGGTCAGTGTTGAGCAATATGATTGAATATGATAGGAGGAGAGCAGCATCTTTGTTTGCCAGAATATCTGGAGATTGCTCATGATATCTTTCAGAAAATGCTTCAAGCACTCTTTGTATTTTTTGCGACTCTCCGGGTAATCTAAATGTTTCTAGAAATATCCGCAGCGCTATATCCAAATTCATACCACGAAAATCAAATGTCCTTGCAAATTCATGAAGCACGGAGATGCAAAATTCATCATGGCTACCTAAGAAATCCCCAATAAGATTTTTATCTAACCCAGGTGCGTATCTGAAGAAACAAGCTACACTGGTGGGATCCAGTTTGTCACCAGGTAACAAATGCATTTCTTGAACAAACTCGAGACCTTTCTTGGGATCCCGGTTAAAATGGTCGGCTCCAATCATCAACTTCTTTTTTATTTGCTTCATCTTATGCACATAAGGAACCCAATGAGTAGGGTCATTATAATCTTGACATACCTCAGTCCAAAACGGCTTATATTCTTCAGAATCTGACGAAATGAGTTCTGAAACTGAACCATGCCCAATTCTTTCACAAATTCCTTCAACCATAGCAATTAGACCATCCAAAGCAATAGTGTTCACTGCTGATAAAGGGCTGTTGACTGGGAACGTGCTCTTTGACAAAAGGTTAGCAAGTTCTTCAAATATGTTGCTACAAGATATGTCACAATCAAAATTAGCATACATTTCAGTCATGAAAACATGCTGCCTGCAAAAGTCAACTAGAGCTTCCAAAGCAACCTCCTGCTGTTGATAAGAAGCTCCATGTTTGTTCTGCGCAATCCTCAAGAGCACACCGGAGAAGAAAGTTTCAAGCTGCAGCTTTAGTTTATCACGGAGATGGTGATAGAGGTTTAGAACGATGCTACTAACCGTTGAGAGGATTAGTGGGCTCATGGACAGGCCAAAGCGCATCAAAGTTCGGAACAACTCCTCCTGTATCAAGGTCAGTAATTTAGGATGGTTTCCAAACGAAGCTCCACCTAATTCTATTGCTGAATTTATTAAACCCAATGCAAAAAGAGGGACATCCTCATCATATGCTATAGGATTTGATCGTGGACCAATTTCCATGTGATCCATCACATTCAGAAGAGAACAAAGGAAATGAAGTATCTCCAGCATACAAGGGATTCCATAAGGATCCATCGTGGAAAGATCTCCACCACTTATACTCTCCTCCTGGCCGCCCAGTTCATTCTTCTTGCTTGCCAATTGGTTTGGAGATGCACTCAAATGAGATTGTTCATTACCAGAACCATCAAGGATAGATTGCCGGTCCCTAAAAGTGTTATCTTCCATCAACATATCATCCTAACAATGTCATAAAAAGACTTCCTTAGTGAAAGTGAGAAAAGGGGGGGAAATCATATGGAAATTAAGCATATTACATTAGTAATCACAATGATCACTCCCTTGTAATAACATTAGGGTTACGCAGATTAAAGTGTAAAGAAAAACCAAGTTTTCCCCAGTCAAGTAGACTATTCAAGATTCTGATAAAACTGATCATTACCTAAACTATGACATGAACATTCAACTGGGATACTTGCCCATAAGAGGGACCAATAAAAAGAAAAGTAATCAATAAAAACACTAACACCCATTTCTCCCTAGGCAACACTGTTTGACCTAATTTTAAGCTGAACACTTATCCTACATAGATTAAAAAAAATAGAAAGACACCTCATTTGTGATTATTACCTCTGGAGTAGCACATAATATTTTTCTCTGATCCAAAACAACTTCTTTGCTCTCAATATCAGGCAGGTGAGAAAAGATACACCTAACCAAATCATGCATTGTGTGGCGTGTTATCCTTTGCAACAGTTCACTTTTTGCACTTGCCTGGCGGACCAACCGGAAACAGGTATTTACTATATTGCACACATGTTGGTTTCCCAAATAAACAGATGCCTTGCTTTTCATGCAAGCCAAAAGAACTTGTAGAATCTTCATCAACACCACTTCTTCAGAGGCAGAATCAGTCACTTCGAAACGACAGCTGGTGACAGCATCAACTATCCGATGCAAAGCCTTGTCTACATTCTTAGAAGTCGAATCAAGAATTTCAAGGGTTAAAAATTTGTAAATGGATGACAAAGCAACACCTGTGATTGGTGCACCAGTTTCATCAGATTGGACCACGTCCAGAAATGGCTGGAGAAAGACCAGTGGATCAATCGAATTCGATTTATGTTGCCATGAGAAGATCTTTTTCCGCAGTTCCTTGAATGACTGAATGAGAGAATGCTCTACCTGATCATCGCTAGCAGCATAGTGAATCCCCCATCGTACATTTCTCCTCATCACAGCCAAAACCGCTCCAACTTCTGAGTTCACCATACAAGCCAGAGTGTTCCTGGATGGCTTCCATCTGACAGCTTTGGGCTCCGGACAGATGCCATTGGCTTCAATATGCTGATCCATACACCCCATAGTGGTTTATGACCTCCTTGCAACTCCACTAGGTTCCAAAAAAAACAACGAAAAGGTACGATGTCTCAGCTAAATCTAAAATAACTGTTATACAGCTAATTCAAACAGCCAAATCACTATACAGCTTTAATCATTTTATTAACATCATTCTGCAAAACCTTGAAATATAGAGACAAAAAGTATCAAGGGTAGTTTTCCTACCCAAATCTAAGGGTGACTACCGGGTTGGGTTTGTAGCCATCAAAATAATTACACAACACATTCAAGGTTTGAGTGGGTTATGCGGACGGATCTGACATTGACGAGACGAGCAGATATCAGGTAGGTAGCTCTTCTGTTAGCCTTCAGATTGTAGGGGGGCGAGATTTACAGGGTCTTCATTTTTTACTATTATATCAGGGGAAAATGTCCATGAAAACAGTACTATTATAGCGATTTGATCTTGTACGAAAGCTCCCGTTCATACCTTGTTGAGTTATCGGCAATCCATGTCCTGAACGGATGCCTGCTCAGAAGATCATTGCAGACTAGCAGCAGCGAAGGAGGGGGCAATTTGCCAATTTTAGCATTTGATTCAGATGTTCACGTCCAGTACCATTGAAATGAAAAAAGGAGCTTCTTTTTCAGCTTAGACGGACAACGATACCCCGCTACACTACTTTTTACGGAGTAAGTACTATGGTATTTATTAATTTAGGTATTTGTTAATTTAGATTGAGATATTACCCAAAATAGGACTAAAAAGGTTGGAAAATTCCAAAATAGGACTGTCATGTTTTTATTCCCAAAATATGATTAATTACTGTCATGTTTTGGCAGTACCAGACTTCAAACATGGCAGTATTTTCCAAACATGTCAGTAATTACTCCTATTTTGGGAATAAAAAACTTGACAGTCCTATTTTGGAATTTTCAAACTGTTTTAGTCCTATTTCGGGAACTTTCCCATTTAGATTAAACAAAACGTTGCATTAGGGCTAATTTTATTTTTGGTTTATCCAGCTAGTTATTTGGTTAACAATTTCTTATATACGGAGTAGGGGTGGACAAACGGTACAGGAACCGCGGGTCGGGCCGGGTAATACAGGTTCGGGCGGGTTAGGGTTGGGTCCTAATTATATAAAACCCAAAAGGTTCGGGGCGGGGCGGGTCCTGAAAAACTTAGGAACCGAACGGGTCTTAAAATTTGAAAAAACGGGTACTTGGACCGAACCGTTTTAAAATACTATTTTAATAATTTCTACTATATTTAATACTAGTATAATGTAATATACTAACAAGTAACAACACATGAAAGGTCTTCATGATCTTGTGTCTAGACAAAGACTTCCTATTAAAGAAACTTCTTAGTCTATTAAAGAAACTTGTGTCAAGTCTGTATAATTAAACTCATTCATTATTTTCCTCAATTCTCTATTCCAAATGCATCAAACTTTATTTCTGTAATATTTTTTTTGTAAACAAAGACTCTCACTCAATGAAGTGTGACATGTTCATTTAATTATCTTAATGTTACTTATATTTGGAGATTTAATAAGCTTTAAATTGTTTTCATAAACAAATATGTATAGTAACTAGTTTAATTTCTTATGAATTTATGGTGCTAGCGTTTTAATTAGTTTATGAATGATGATTAACATTTTAAATAAGGTGGTTGTGTGTTGTTTAATTTATAGATTTGTGGTTCGATATTTTGTTGACCAATTTAATTAAACGTTGTCTTATACTTTTATTTTGAATTTTTATTATATTATGGTTACATTAATACGTAATTAATTTGAGAATTTTATAACTTACCGAAAACTATGCTTACATAACAATATTCAAAAAAAGAACCGAGGACTCGGACTGAACCGGCCCATTTGAAACGGGGCGGGTAAGATCTGGGCCCTATTTTGAAACGTGTTATACTCGGACCGAACGTACCCGTTAAATGGAACCTCCGGTTTTTGAAAATTTATCAATTACCCGACCCAACCCGGACCGTGCCCACCCCTAATCCGGAGTATGGATGTGTTTACTTGGCATGTTTTCGGTCCCCAGATCAGACATAAAAAAATCAAATCAGAGACTAAACTTAAACAGACCAGAACAGATTAAATCAGACTTATATTGTTATGAGATACACAGAGATCAGACATTTATCAGACCAAACCAGGCCAGTTCTAATCAGACCAGGCCAGACTTAAACAGACCAGACCAGTAAATTACAATCCAAGTAAAACATACATATGGTTACAACTCACAACCAATCTTGTGGGTTGTCTAATTAAAATTTTTTGAAAGGAAAATGCATATCATTAACTAAATCAAACTCTGAGTATGTAGATGAGAGACAATACAATCAGGTGGAATACAAAACACATAAAAACCATCCGACATAGAAAGAGCAGCCCTAGCTTATGAGCTACTACATTCACGGATCTTCTTCCATGAATGACTTCTATCCTAGCTTCGTTGCGAAGACTGAGTCTTATATCTTCTAAAATAATATCCAAATAGGAATCTCCATATCGTCTCTCCAGTCTAGATACAACCACAAGAGAGTCTGTCTCCACTTCTATCCTTCCTCAACCTTGTGTTTTTGCCCAAGCTAGCACCTCTGGTACTCCGATCACTTCTATTATCTCCCCTGACCAACTTGCCCCTTTCACGTTCCAGCCTCCTTTTATAAGGCTACCATGTGTGTCCCTTGTCACCCATGCCCATGCTCGCCTACTATTTTGCATGTCCAGCGCCGCATCCACGTTAATCTTCACAGTATCTGCCACTGGTTTTTTCAATCCGATCACCTGTCTTGTCGCCTTATTTGAAACACCAATCACTACATGAGTCGTCCTCCATCCGCGCAACACTGCCGCACCAATTTCCAGACATTGTCGCCAATCCACATCTTGATTTTTCCAAACTTTATCATTGCGAATTTTCCATAAGCTCCATTTTTTTAGCAATTAATGTACACATCTCTTCATCCTGCAAATTATTAAAAAAAAAAAATCAATCCAGTCAGCGAAATCATGTCTGTGTCGGACAAAACGGAGAAAAATAATCTCAATTAATAATAATCAAATCTAATTAAAATTTAAATCCTGCATTTGATAAAATTAAGGGAAAATGGAGAAAACTAATCTCAATTAATATTAATCTGCTTCAAATAATTCAAAGTATCAATTATCTCAAAAATAATCACAACTATTGTATAAATTTCTCAAAATAATTTATACGAGTTAGAGGAGCATTTTGATTTTTTTTCAATAGTTGTGTTTACTTTGAGATAATTGAATTTTGAAGTATTTTAACAGATCTCTAATAGTTGTGATTATTCTTGTGCATTTTTCCTATAACAAATACTACAAATTCTAACTAGTATTAAACAATTATTATTCATATTATTATAAGGAATTCTACTAATTCAAAACTTGTAAGATGGACTAATTATCAATCGGAAGCTCAAAGATGAAAGTGTCAATATTGGGCTCAAATATATGGTAATATTTTCAAGATCTCAATTAGGTAGAAACTTTCCATTTCTATGATTCCCAAAATTTTGAAGGTTTTAATAAAAAGAAATGGCTCAAATTTTATAGATTTTGATTTATGTAATTTTTTTTAATTCCATTTCTATATTTTATATTTTTCTTCACATAATTTTATTAGTATATTATATTGAATAATATTTAAAAAAAATTAAAATAATAAAAAAATAAAATTCATGATATGTTAAGTGTTAGATTGATAGTTTTTAATTATTTAATCCCTATATTGACACGTTTATTTTTTTATGTTTTTTTATAGTTAAATCTTGAATTGATAAAAGTAATTTTTAGGAATAGTGACATCATATCATATTTCTTATCACTTATGACTTTTAAATTGAAAATTATGTTATACATAGTTATTTCATTACTTTGAGTTGATAGATGGAATTCGTCTATTTACATTACCATGTTACTTTTCCTCCCTAGTAATTGTATGCCCTTTCATACTCTCATTCCTCCGTGCATTGAATATTAATTTTATTGTGTAGTCCTAGGGCATTTAGATTAGCTAAAAAAGATTTGCTTTTTATTTTAGTTTTTAAGAGGTATACATAACTTTAACTTCACTCATGCATATGAAGAAACCTACTTGTAGATTAATATAAAAACTTTATATATTTGTATACATTACTTAACTAGTCAACCCACCAGTGCATTGCACAGATGAATTCGTCCATAAAACAATTTATTTGATGATTAATATTTGTACACTTTTTCAATTATAAATTAAACATATGATAGAAGGTTGTGTTACAAAGAAAGGTTAAGTTAAGAGAGACTCTAATTATTACAAAATACAAAAGAACATTATTTAGTTATTCATTTTTCTTATATATGATGAATATGATAACAATAAATATTTTTAAAATTTTATATGATTAGTGACAATTATGATTATAATTCAATACATGATAAGAAGTATAATAAGCTTATGTGATCATTGAAACATAACATAATAGAGGTTTTAACATATTTTTATGCTATAGAAAGGTCATATTTATTTGATCATTTTAACTCATCTTGATTAAGAGGGGTTACCTTTCTTAAAAAAAATATATAATTTTTCTTTTGGTATATCCTATATAATGTTCTTCCAATTTCCTCATAAATACGTAGTACTAAATATTTATGTGTGATTGATGTAGGTGTTAGGAATAGTTTTGAACAAAAACTAAACTCAAAATAAATTTAAATCCAAAAATATCATTAGTATCACTTTATAATTTTATATTGTTTTCTAAAAGAAATATGTTATTTGTAATTTTATAATCCAAAAGTTTTTTCTAAAAACTTTATTATTTTCTAAAAGCACTTTCATTATATAAATAAAGATTGCATATATAGTATATACAGATAATTGTATGGTGAAATTCCAAATAATTTATTTTCCCTCCAAAAAAATGAAATTATTGAAGTATTTAATGAACTCTTATAATTAATCAACGTTATTTAAAGTTAGTAAAAAATAACCAGTTACAATAAATAATAATACCAACATTAAGTTCACTAGTCAATCAACCCGTGCGTTGCACGGTAGAATTCACTTAAATAGCTCGTTTGATGAGTAATGAATTTTTTTTTTATATAATCAAATTAAAGATATAAAAATGTGTAAGAAAGATATTTCATATTTTTTTGAAATATATACTCCACAATTCATAACTAATGATTGATAAATTGAAATATAACGTTCCACATTTTGAAAATTTTATTCATACGCCACCTTAGTTTTGAAGTTTGCAGTTTGTGCCTTGTGTTCAAAAAATAGAGAAACACGACCTTTGATTTATGTACAATTAAATACTTAATCATCATAGAATAAGTGCTCATACATAAACTAAGATAATAACTATGCTAATTGTAAGAGATGTACAGAACATTACCTCTTTCGTGAGTTACGCCTCACTACTTGTTTATCTCATTTTTATTTGAATTACCAAGTTTGTTTCATACTATATTTGGTGATATTGGTTGTGCTTCAAACTTATTCTTATGAATCTTACTTTGATAATAAAACCAATTTCATAAGTGCACTTTTGTTATAATGTGTGTGGCTTGCACATGTTATCTTAGAGATAGTACAACATCATGGAAGTGGTATTAGTACATAGTTATTGATAGAAAATATGTGCTCGAACCCCTGGTCTGCAACTATTAGGCTTGGACAACACACATATGTCGAGTAATTGGCGTTTTACATTGTATATATTGGGAAATACCTCTTTATTACAATAAAAATGATTATGTTCTATATTCATAAATGTAATTAGTGGTCATGAAAGACTTGTTTATATTGTTATCATATTCAAAATTATTGTTTTCATATAATTGTTTTATAAAAAAAATTGTAATAAAAAATAACATTTACATTATCTTATTAATTTATTTCTGAAAATTATAGAATTATTAAATACTTATAAGTTAAAAATGTTAATACTTGTCATAAAAGTGTTGGGCGCCTAGGTGTTGGGCGCTGGGCTAGCGCCCGACTAGCGTCTAACGCCTTTCAAAACATTGGATGGAATCCACCCTCTATGTGGGTGATTAGCTCAAAATTATGATTGGAATGTAATTTTCTGGATATGTGTTGTACTTTGCATGTTTCATGATATTTTAGTATTACTCATTTATAATTTAAAAAAATACTTCGTATTAAATCTGTATTTGCATATATGCATAATGCATGAATACATGCACGTAGCTTTAAGTTATTAGTAGATATTTAGATTAAACAAAATAACCCAAGTGATCCAATGCATTTGGGTTAGATTGTCAGATAAAGTATTTAGGTAATTAAGAGCGTGCATGCCCTTTCTGCTCTCCCTCCCTCACCTCATCTGATCTCATCTTCTTCCATCAATTCTTGAGAGAGGGAGACACCCATTGCCCCCGGCCGGCCGTTCCATGCACGTTACAAACTTCTAATTCCCCGGCCAAAAAATTTAAAGGTTATTAATCAATCTTATGTAGTTGTTTTATTCATTATTCTCTATCTCTAATAATAATTTAGCCCATGCACAAAGATTTTATATAATTCATTTCTCTCTGTAGATCCGGTGGGTGATTACCAATCGTCAAGGGATTATTATTAATTATTCAATGTACGCACTATAATAAGATTATTAGCTAGCTTCCATCAGAGGACATCTTCTTTGTCTTCAAATATACATCCAATTTATTAGCTTGTAGTATTCATCTGAGGTATGTTGAATCAATTATAAACTTATTTACCACAAAGAAAATATAAAAATAATGCACATTAATTATATTTATGTTAATTAATTTCGGGTATTCTAAAATATCAGAATTATTACCTTCGGAAAAAATGGGTGCTTGTGTGTCGACTCAATCCCAAATGATTGGGATGAGGAAGAAGCGCCTCTTCAAGCGGCGGCGTGGGAAGGCGGCCATTCGGGCTGCTGGGGATGGGGTAACTGATTTTTCTGTCAGTGAATTTGTTCATACCACCACCACAACCTGTCGACGATCCGCCGTGTCTAACTCCACCTTCCACCTCACTCAGCGACAATGGCAGCATACCCAAAAAGGTTCTAATGGTATGCAATATACACCAGCTTCGTATATATAAAAACATTAACTAACATATAAAGTCTTGAGCTTGAACTCAAAATTTTAATATGGAATAACTCTCTATTTATAGCTCCCTTCTCTCACTTGTAATTTAGAAAAACAACACATTTATTTCGTCAATGAAAATGTTAGAATTACTTTAATCTCATGTAATGAATGGCTTGTTAGAGTTTAATGTGTCTCACTAAGACTTAGGACTTAGGTTACATCCTAAAGCTATAAGGCATGATCTATATCTTTATACTTGGCCACTGTATGCTTGTTTAAAGTGATTGAGTTAAAGTGAGATTGAAAAGTTGGAATCCAACAAATTGGACATTCTTAACTGAATATGAATGGTTGGAGTATGTATAGTCTATTTTTATTACAACTTTCATGGACTTTCTGAATTTGAAGCTATATTTAAATTAGATATCCGATTATCACAGTGATTAACCAAGAAGAGGCATGGTTTGACACTTCTAGCATTCTGGATTCTGAATCAGATGAGGACTTCAGTAGTGTTTATGGAGGTAATAATAAATAATATACATAAATAAAGTTAATCATATCTATGTTAGTAGTAAACTATTTGATGACCTTATTAGTCACTTCTGTAATAATTAAATGTATAAAAGTTCTTTCCTTTCTGGCGTTAGATTTTTTCCCAGGCAGGCTAAGTGGGCAAGTGGTACAGTATGAAATCCATGAAAGATATCTAAAGCTGGATGTGAGTAAAACAGAAAACAAACTCACAGGGAGAGATATCAAGGAGCCAATAGGACTTGCCCTTTTAACTGCCACACGCTACGGACCGAAAAAATTGGACCGCGGTTATGGAAGCTTCAATTCTTTGAAATCTGATCCAGCAGGCGAAAACGGCTTCAAAGCTGTGTTGCCTAAGTTGGGCGCTTCTTTTAGCTTCAATGACAAAATCATTAGTGCATCCAATGTTGGAATTTGCTCTCAAACTAGGAAATCCACTGTCATAAGGTTATCTGTAACCAGGACACAGGTTGATGGACATGAGGCAGATATTCTTTGTAAGTTCAACATTATAGTCATGTTCATTTTTTGTGATCCATAAAAAAAGAATGCCCTACGTTTGTTGAGATAATTTTTTGTTTATAGGTTCACCAAAAAAATACCTTTACCGTCCAAGAGCTGGGCTTTTAATTCCTCGTTGTACTGAAGAGAAAGCGAGCTCAGGAACTTGGTCTGCAATTCAACCCTCAAATTTTAAGCTCCGGGCTGAGAGTTATTTTGTGTATGCTTGTCTTACCTCCGGTTTATTATCACAGATAACAAGTACTACATGTTAACTTCCACATCGAACAAATAAAAAAAGTACAAACATCAAATAAGATTTTAGGATATTCCTCTGATGCTTTTCAAAATATATGATATCTCAAGTCTTAGTGTACTACCTTGTTCTAATAAAGAGTTGCAAATTTTTTACGAGTAATAACTAATAAGATAGTATCACAAAAGAAGAATTCTTGTGTGACAGATGGAGCACTAGTTTTTGGGCAAATGTGTATTTTAATATGTGATGACCATATTGTTTTTTTGAAGATGATTCAATGACGATGTTAATGTTCCATTTTACTCTGTTAATCTGTTTGACTATGTTGTACTTTTGAGGTGATTGTAGTGACTACACATAGTCATTTATTGTCAATGAGTTCTATGTTTGCAATATTTTAGAAAAAATCTCATATATTACACACATTTTCAATCTTCAGAGACAAGAAGAAATTACCTGCCCCAACCTTTTGTCCTTATACTCCTATTGGAGTTGATCTATTTGTGTGTCCAAGAAAGATCAACCACATTGCACAGTACCTTGAACTTCCTTCTGCAATCACAGATGAAAACCTTCCTTCTTTACTCATTGTTAACATTCAGGTAAATAAACATAACTTTTATTGAATAATATAATTTTGTAGCCTTGTAAAAAAATCATGTACTTAACAGTTAACATCCCGCATTACTAATGTTCCTTCAGCTGCCTTCATATCCACCTGCAATGTTTCTCGGAGATTGTGATGGGGAGGGATTGAGCCTTGTGTTGTATTTCAAACTTTCTGAAGGTTATGAGAAAGAAATATCCCCTCAATTTCAAGACAGCATTAAGGTAAATTATGCTAAAGAATTTGTCCCACGTCGACCCAATATGAAATGGCAAACTCATAATGAGAAATTTAAATTACTCTTCCAATCAATAGGAAGAGTAATTATGAACAAATGGTCTTACCTCCACTCCTATTATTCTGAACAAATTTTGTATGTAGTATTTGTGAACAAATGTTCTTACCTCCACTCCTATTATTCTGAAGTTGTATTGTTTGTTTGCCTTGTGATTTTGGTTTGTATTGTCTTGTAGAGATTAGTTAAAGATGAAATGGAAAAGGTTAAAGGATTTGCAAAAGATTCAATGGTTTCGTATAGAGAAAGGTTGAAGATAATGGTTGGAGTGGTAAATCCTGATGGTCTTGTATCAAATTCAACAGAGAGGAAACTTCTAAATGCATACAACGAAAAGCCTGTGCTTTCCCGCCCTCAACACAACTTCTACCAGGTTAGTTTTGGCAAACTACATTCCATCAAATAAATTCTGAAGGCTTTGATACCATAATGAAGGATATATTCCATTGACATTCATTGCAGGGTTCGAATTACTTTGAGATTGATTTGGACATCCACCGCTTCAGTTTCATTGCAAGAAAGGGACTTGATGCATTCAGAGAACGCTTAAAAGACGGAATTCTGGATCTTGGTTTGACAATCCAGGTTATTATATGCATTAGTGTAAAAATCTTTGTCTGCATGCTAGACCCCAGATGTGCCATCTCGCAAGCGCCTAACATCTTTTCAAAATCAAACTAACTTATAAATCATGGAACTATAAGGTTTAACTTTGTAAGATGAAACTCCAAGTATGTCTATCTTTATGTGCCTTAGGGTATTGCAGACTTTCAGCAGCCTTATTTCTTCACAACTTATTTATTTCATTTTCCGGCATCAACAGGCGCAAAAACAGGAAGAGTTGCCTGAGAAAGTGTTGTGCTGTTTAAGATTAAACAAGATCGATTTCGCAGATAAGGGGAAAATCCCAACACTGATGAGGGTAGAGGATAATGAGACTTCCCAGAGCGGCATTCGTGGACTGCTAACAGATGCATGAGGAAATATATGTGATTATATCTTAGCATTAAAAATGAGTTTGATACTGCAAAGTACCCAAGGATGCAAGCAAGCAATTACATTCTTCTTCCTCGCTAACATGTATAAATTGTAAAGTTAAAAAGTTAAATTAAAAAAAAAAAGAATTGTTATATTATCATGTCATAGGATCAGGTCATGGAATATTGTAAATTGTGATGAATTCCATGTAAAAAAATCCACTAATTTTGAGTTTAATGATTATTTAATTTGTTCACCTTTATTCACTCAATAATCATTATGTATAGAATATAGATTTGGCGCTACAGAGATATTTACTTCATCTTTACGGAAACAAAGCTCTTTGGGATTTTGGATTGATTTTAGTTAGAAAAGTGGTTACTTTGAGTTTTCTTCAATAAATACTCGTCTTTGTTTCATATAGCATTTTAGTTTTAAAAAATTCATATTTTCAAATTATATACACTTTAAATCAGATAAGGACATGAATGTATGCCAAACAGTCCCATTAAAGAACATGTAGTTGAGAATAAATATTTATATCGAACCAGAAGACATCGTTCTTTATACATGAATGAATGCTTCAATTTTGTTATATAAATGCCAATGCTTATTAAAATTTTACAAAATGATGGTGTGCCATGAAAAGCACCAAACTGACAACATCAGCTAGAGAAAAGAAATAAAAATCAGATCACTTTGCATATCATGAGCATTTTTAAATGAAAGTGTCATCACTCTATCCAAAATACTCTTTGAGATGCTGCTCATCAGCTTTGAAAATCATTTACTACAATTGCAAACATGAAACATAGCTATGCTTAGGGCCAGTGAGATATCCATGTCACCGCCAAGTGTAAAACTCACTTTCTATCGATCAAAATGCAATTTAACTCACTTTCTATCAATTTAACTCTCTTGACAAACCATCTGACTGGTTGTGAGGGACCTTCAAGGACGTGGTGCGTCCTTTCTTTTCATAAATCATGGATCCAGATGAATGGGAATGTGCATTAAAGCCAACAAAATACAATAGTATGTATAACAAAAAAGAGTTTAGCACCACTCTGCTCTGTACTTTACACTCGACAATAGAAATACATTTCAGATCTATACATGGTTGCACTTAGCACATAAAATTTTCATTAGATTTCATTTCCAAGACAAAATGCAGTGGTGACTGCAAAATCTGATCTGCATTCTATGGTGCCCACTGAACCTTGAATCCGTTAATTCGCTCTCCTCAAAAATTGATTGGAATTCTGATTTTCCTTTGTGCATTTCACTACTTTTTTTTACCTGAGAGAAGTGCCAAAAAATCTGGAAGAACTTCATAGTTGAATGTCATTCTTCCTTAGTTCATTCTGAGCTACAAATCTGCATAAGTACAACAGAAATTACCTTAACATGTTTCTGACCATCAAGTTTTAGAGAAGGGTTATAGTTTCTTTTTCCTCAAATTAATTTTTATATATTCATGTATTCTTCAAATTCATATGTCGATTCATGTTAGCCAACCCCAAATGCTTTAGGGACTAAAGCTTGAATGTTGTAATTATTCTATATTCCTATGTTCCCATAAAAGCACATGCTTGTATGGAGTTGAGATAAATTTGGTAGTCAATTCTGACTTGTTACACTTATGAGCAAATTAAGTTGCTTTTGACCGACTTCTTTGGCTGGAATCTATGTTGCCAAACACTTTTACTCTTACAATTTTTTTTACCTCTGTAGAAACGGGATCTACGAACAGTTTGACGAGGTCTGATATCTTGCCTTGTATCAAACCTACTTGGTTGTTGGCAAAATGCCCCTAAAAACCCAGTACTTCCTTGTGGATCATCATTCTCCTGCATATCATTCAAAAATGGCGTAAGAAGTTGAACACAATCATAGACTTATAGCCACTAGTTGCTTCGGAAATACAATTATGGTCTCTGCACATTTAAATTTACATATTTCTTCATTTTTATTTTATTAGACACATATTTGTAATTTTTCTTTTATTATCATCCGGTCCTTTTGAATTATATGATATGAGAGTAGGGTAAATGTCATAAGACTTTGGGTAGTTTGTCCAGCTTATTGGTAATATTTTACTTATTTTGTTGAAGTAGGTGTCACCAAACACTTTTCTTTTCAGAATGTTCAACTATTTCAGGAAGACAGCCATCATCAGGCCCTCAATTTAAATGATGGAATGTGCATGAGGAACAATTCTAACCAATGATGGCTTTCTTGAGTGATACATATCTGATGAGTCAAATGATTGTTGTCTTCCCGATTTTAACCGCTGCTTACGAAGAGCACGCTTATCAACCATATCTGGGCTTCTAGCTTCAGTATGGAAGCCATCTGACAAATGATCCAAGACATTACACTTTAGACCTTTTGAATTGGCATTATTAGTGTGAGTCCTTGGACCTGCATAATCTTGTTTTTTGTTCTTTCCCCCTTTCGAACTAGAAGACATTTCTAGAGGGGCGGAGACAGCTGTTTCAGCTTGTGATAGATCTGTCGTTGCTTGAGAAACCTCGGACTTTGTATCGTATGATGGTTTTAATGAAACTCGTGACACTGTAGCTCCTTTAGTAGCACGGCTCCCGCCACCAACATGGTTTCTACGAGAAAATGGAATGTTGGCCTCCATCTCCTTTATGCAAGCAAGCACACTAGTTAGCATGTATGTATGCATAGTGTGTGGTCAAAATATTAGTGAATTCAGAGATTCCTTTCATGACTTGGATTTCGATCCTAAAATTTATACTAGATAGAATGAGTAATTCAAATCTTTTTATGTGAACTAGTATCTCTTTGGTTAATTTTTTTACTAGGCAAATAGGTGTTCAATTGTCTTAAAATTCAAAGTCTAGGATAGAGGAAAACTGGGATTAATGCAAACAATAAGCATAACAAAAGGTAGACACAATATTCATTGCAACTACTAGATAGTGAACAAAGGTGAAGCTCAAATTGTAATGACAAGGAAAATCAATGGTATCCAAAGACATGACTTATATTTGATTCCTATATGAGATGACTTAACGTGTCATGCAAAATGATGGTTTATTTTAGTTTAGAAATCTTTAAATTTGTGTGCTCGACATTGAAGCTTGCTAGGATGGTTGCTCATAGTAGATTACAAGAGTTTGATACAATACTAAGACTTCAGACTTTTGAGAGTTCATCTTAAAAGCACAATTAGATATTTGACATGCAGATGAATATGTCTTTACATTTGCCAAAATTCAAAGGGAAAGTGAAAAAATATCCATTCATATAAACTTTTTTAAATAATTATTCTTTTTACCAAACATGGGTGGGTCAAAGCCCGGGTTGGCCACCTAGATACACTAGTACATGAGCCATTTTTAGAAGAATATAGGGTGACATAAAGAGTCAGACCTGCATTGGAAGAGCTCTACAGAAATTGATAGATTCGTGTAGATTTTTTCGGACTTTTCTAGGATGTTTGGAAGCTCCATAACCTCTTGTTGCATAAATTGCATTCCTTCTGAAAATGGAGGTATAATCCAAAGTGAGATCTCTCATTATAAGAGCAAATGTCAAAATGTGTGACATGGAAGTATAATGCAATAAAGGAATCAAGCAGCACCTCCGTTCATCTTCACGGGATTTTGCATCAATCTCTTTGTTAGGAGGGTACTTTTGTAAGCTCCATGGATCACAAGGGTATGGCGCTGAACTAAAATACTACAAGTCACAAAATTGATGATCCATTAAAGTTGTGGAATAACTCATCCAAAAGCTACTCCTTACACTCAATTTAGCAGACATTTAAGATAAGTCTACATATAAACAATATTACAAAATTGTACATTTGTGCCTATAAAAATTCAAAATTGAATGTTACTCATATGTTTTTAATGCAAAATAGTATTTACTATGAGGAAAGTAAAAAGGGATAATTTGAGAGATTAATGCAATATGTGCATTGAGTTTTAGAAATGGTGATTATTTTTTATATAAAATATACTTTAAAATGACGAATAATTTGGGATGGAGGGAGTATTCATCAACATTCAGCCCCACTTGTACACAGTTGCAAGTGAAAAGTCTACATATTAAAATATACTCCGTATTACATAGTACTAATATAAAATTGTACATTTGTGCCTTTAAAATTTCAAAAATGAATGCTTTGCTTATCTTTGTAATGCAAACTATCATTTACTATTAGGAAAGTAAAAAGGGATAATTTGAGAGATTAATACAATATGTGAATTGAGTTTCAGAAATGTGATTATTTTTTTCATAAAATATTCTTTAAAATGACAAATATTTTTGGATAGAAGGGGGATATTCATCAACATTCAACCCCCACGTGTAGGCAGGTGGAGCAAAAATTGAACTTGCCTCGGAGGCAAGTGTCGACGAAGCAGTTCCACGCTTACACGGTTCTATTGCAAGAAGTGTTTCTAAGAGGTCCACAGCGGCTTCAGGGAATTCTCTACATCGCTCTCGGAGTGTACTCTCATAAGGATGTTGCGGTTTGAACACAGTGGCAAGTGAAAGCTTAGACTTTTTCCAGTAATCCTCTGGTGGAGAACCACAAAGCTTAAAGATTTTGTGCAGTTGTTCCACCTATAATAAATAAGGTCAGTTTAGAAAAGAAAAAAAGATAACATTTTGAAGAAACATGTGATCATCAATTGCACACCTCAGTTCTCCCTTTAAGGAATGGCCTCCCACAAAAGAGTTCAGCAAAAACGCAACCTGCGCTCCATAAATCAACCGTCACCCCATAATTTGTCGACCCCAGCAGGAGTTCAGGAGGCCGATACCACAGGGTCACCACGCGGCTTGTCAGTGGTTGTATGTTTTTTGCACTAATGAAGTTTGCAAGTCCAAAGTCAGCTATCTTCAAAACCCCGTCATTGTTTACTAGAATGTTGGAAACTTTGATGTCTCTGTGTATTACCCCCGTTGAATGGCAATGCTCCAAACCCAACATCAGCTGCTTCATGTAGCATTTGATCTTGTCCCAAAAAAAAGCATGAGCTCAAACTGATTGTTGGACTACACTAATTTTAAGACTTGCATTCTATTCTAAAATAGTAAAATGTCTAACATATGTGGAGGAAAATTTCAATAGCTCATATGCTGAATTTTTATTTCATGATCAGTTAATATGGAGAAACATTTCTTCATCACTTCTATCACTCGAACACATTGACCGATTGTGCAATTTTTAACTTATTCCCTCATAGTCAGATACATAGTTTGAGTCATGGACTTTTTCATGAGAGGACATACTCTCACGGCCCCAAAATTCTTCTTAACTGTGACTTTTCTATTTTTTCATAAGAGACCACATTAAAACTCTGATACCATATTAAAGTGAGCTCCATAATAGTCAACCTGATATATATATATATATATATATATATATATATATATATATATATATATATATATATATATATATATATATATATATATATAGTCCAAGAGAAGAGCCAACTTGAGCTCCATTTTGGCTATGTTTGGTTATTAGTGTTCGAGCCAAAACACCAAAAGTCAGTTAACTTGAAATGTTAAATAACATAGCGTATTGGGTTGGCTTTTCTTCCAATCTGCCAAGAACCAAACACAGCCTTTATATATAAGACTCTATAAGTAAGTACATTAGATACCTGTGACTCGGTGAATCTGATGTCAGGAGAAGAGAGCAATCCAGCAAGGTCGTGTTCCATGTATTCAAACACGAGGTATATGCTACAAGATAACTTGGAAGTAATTATTCCCTCAAGTTTCATGATGTTTGGATGATCAAGCGTGCGAAGAATTGTTATTTCTCGTGCCATAAACCTTACACTATCTGCTTGGAAATTGTCGAACCGGACCTTTTTCAGTGCAACCATTCTACCACTTTCATTTTCCCGTGCTCGGTACACTGTGCTATATGTACCTTGTCCAATCTATTATACAAACACCGAACATAACGAATCAATCATATGCACGGAAAATTCTTGCATGAACAGGGTCACAAATGCAATAAATTATTGTCCATCTCCATCATGCATTGCTATGTTGTATATACACGTACAAGCATTTAGAGGCACCGGTCCAAGTGGATAAGTTTTCCCATTAAGAGGATTCTAATGTTTAGTTATAAATGTGCAAATCTTAATTGTATATCGAGTATAACTTTCTAGATTGTTTTTGCTTTTACTATTATTAATAATTAGGCTAAAGGTTCAAATAGGTACATGAACTAACTTAAAGTGTTCAATTAGCCCCTTATATAAGAGGTTCTGCCCGGCCGTCGCCAATTGGGGCGGTTCCCGGTGGAATTTTTTGATGAATTTTTTTTATCATCTTCTTCATTAAGTCTAGTTTACTCATACCAAATTTCAGCTAAAAATTCAATCGGGAAGGCAGTCAAATGATTTTTTGAAGATAACTGTGCAGTTAAACAGCGCAATACATTTCGGAAAATCATTTGACTACCTTCCCAGTTGAATTTTTAGATGAAATTTGGTATGGGTAAACTAGACTTAATGAAGAAGTTGTTCAAAAAATTTCATCAAAAAATTAAACCGGGAACCTCCCCAATTGGCGATGGCCGGGCTAAACCTCCTATATAAGGGGCTAATTGAACATTTTAAGTTAGTTCATGCCTATTTGACCCTTTAGCCTAATAATTATGATAAACATTATACATTCATTCATCATCATTACCACAGTGCCGCAAAGGCTCCCACCTGTGGTGGGGTAAGGGGGTCGGATGTACGCAGTCTTACCCCTGTACTAAAGCACATGGAGACTGTTTCTGAATTATCCATGGAGACCGTAAAATTGCGTCGAAAATTGCATGGATTGATTGTTGATTCATAACAAAGAAGCGCGCACAGTTTAGAGAGCCGTTTTGCTTTATTCCATCATATTCCCAAGCCAAAAATTGGTAAACTTTGTCTCCATTGCAAATGATGGAAATAATTGTGCTAAACATTATATTCAAAAAACATATTTTAAACATTATGTTCCATAAAAATTTCTCATAAATTAAATTGAAATGGGAAAGAATATCCATTTGGAAGTATATACTCCCTCATCCCGAAAAGGTTCGACAACTTTGACTTTCACGTGGATTAATAAAGTAAAAAGTGTGTGGTTGAAATTTGTGTAAAAGGAGAGAATTAACTTTAGACACATATTCCTTACTTTAAATGGAAATCACAAGTCTTTTTGGGACATTCAGAAAAGCAAATTTGGCAAACCTTTTCGGGACTACGAGTATTACTTATAGTAATAATTACCTTATCTAATCTTTGGAACATGTCAGCTCTAAGAGGAAGCCAGCCGTCGACGGCCTCTCCGGCAACAGAAGTGAGCCAGGTCGGCCAACCGGCAGCTATTTGTTCGCATTCCGTCAGCCTCCCCGCGGGGATGCTGACAGAAATCTGGTTTTCCAGAAGCTCCTTCTTTGACACAGTCGAATTCCCGGAATGCCGAGCCGAGGACGACGAAGAGGAGGAGGAGGAAGAAGATTTGGGTGCCTCGAGTTTATCGTTCTCAGGATCGACCCGGATCTCCCTGGAGGATCCGAGCCCGAATTTGAGCTTACCCGAACCAAACTGTGATCTCTTCCCGCTGGCATTGCGGTGGGGAAGGGATTGCTCGCGAGGAGGGGAGACATTGGAGCGAGCCTTCTTGGAGCTGACGCAACCCATAGTGATCCCCCAAAACCCATGAAAAAACGGGCATTCGGATTTTGGGAGATCGGATTCGACGACCCGGATTAAGGAAGTTCCCTAGGCCACATTACCGGCTCATCTGGTCTGCGTGGGAAATCCCGTGAAGAAGAAAAGAGAGAGCTAAAAAACCAGAGGAGAAGAAGAGAGGGAGGGAGAAATTGGTTATGAAAAGGGGAAAAGGGTAGCCTGTCGTCAATGGGACGGTCATAGATTTTCATGCAGGATCTCATTGGAGGGCAGCCACACATGCGGGAAATAGTAAGGGCCATTAACATCGACTTCTCCGAAAGCAGAGGAACTGATGATTTCATTACTTTTGTCTTTTGTTGTCGTGTGTTTGGGAGGAAGAGTATATACCGGGATCCTCCATTGACAGAGAGCTGCCAAGTGCCTTAAATTAGATTTCATGATTTGAAACTTGTGGTTTCTAAGATTAACTTACCATAAAGTTAAATATTTTTAAACAATTAAATAGATTTGTTTTTTTAAACAACAACAATTAAATCGATTTTATTAATTAATTTTCGGAAAAATTGATAGTAATAATCTCAATTATTGGCGGTCCGCTCATAATAATCTCAACTATCGATTATTTCAGAATAATCCTAACTTTAGGGATCTTCCGCCAATAATGGTCCGAAGTGATCGGCTATAAATAAATTCATATAGTTTCTAAAGTGGATGAGAAGAGATATAACAAGTAATGCCTATAAATAATCCCAACTTTTAATTTTTACGTTTAATTTCTATTTGAAATTCACTTGTTATCTGGTCATGGACCATTATTGGCAGATGGTCCATATAGTTGAGATTATATAAAAATAATCGATAGTTGGGATTATTGTTAGCGGACCGGCAATAATTGGGATTATTATTTTCAATTTTCCCTTAATTTTTTCATTTTATAGAATCACAAATTTCAAATCAAAATAAAATAACAGTTTGATATTTTAAATAAGTACTAGTAAATGAAACTAAATTGTGTTGATCAAGAAAAGAAAACTTTAAAAATCATTCTAAAGCAAGAGTAATATAAATAACTATACACAAAATATACAATCACATGGCATTTCCTCCAAGCATTTAAAAGTTTAAAATATTTTAAGAATATGCATTCACATGATTATTTATAAAAATAATCGGTTTTCAAATATACAGCCACGTATAACAAAATAGGAGGCACAAACATGAAACACCACATTTGTAACACCGTCCCCAAATATATTTACCTTTATGTAAATTATGTATTGAACATGGCGTGTCTAGTAATGAATTTACGAGGTTGTAAATGTTTGTTATTTCTTTTGCGTGAAGAGTAAATTCCACGCGGGGCCCACACTCGGAGCGGGGGGTAACCCGATAACACGAGACCACATGTTATATTCATCTTGGTCTAGATAATAGTTACATGGTGGTGGAAATTCATAATGGGCCATGAGAAAGGCATCGGGTTGACCGGTTTGTCAAACAGGGCCCAATTACCTGTACCGGCAATTTTTCAGATAACAGTCCGAAAAGAATTTCGGAGACTTTTAAATTAAAGTTGGGGAATGTATATTCATTCTTAAGATCCATAATTGTTATGGACATTTAATATATTTTATTTGACCCGATAAAATAAAATATAATTAAAACAGTCCGAGAAATACAACTTTCGGGGTCGATTGTACACACCGGGACACAAAGGGATGACCTCCCACATGTGTGGGGGCCACCCCACGGTTTTGTCAACCTTTGGAGACTTGATTGAGTGCAAATGGGGCTGAAAACCCTTGAAGGGATGGGGGAGACCATCTTGACACCTAAGGGACCCCTCTCACACTCATATGGCTAATATGCCAAAAAGGAGAACCCATCCCATTTCCCTCATCACCCACCTGCGGCCAGAGCACCCCCAAGAGAGAGAGAGAGGAACCCCAAGACACCATTTCTCCATAGCCAAGAGAGCTCAAGAAAACAAGAAGCTCAAGGAAGAAGAGGAAGTTGCAAAAGTAGAGAAAAACCTTAAGAATAAAGGTGAGTAACTCCCTAACAACTTTTCTTACATCTTTTGATTTTCATATGACTTATATATCATATGAAGTACCCTTAAGATTGTTATACATGGTTATAAGTGTAGAACAATGGGGTGAAAGATGGTTCTAAGTCCAAGAACGGACTTAGAAGCCAAAGAGACCGGTTCACCGGAAAATAACCTTTTAAGGGTTATTTGTATTGATTAAGGTTTTATGATGTTAAAACCTTGTTAGGAACTCGTATAAGGTGATTCAATAGCTTCCACAAGGTTGAAGGAGTCGCCGGAATAGTCGCCGGAGTTCAACCAAACTCGCCGGAGTTTCACCGGGGTTCAACCGAGAAGGGTAGAACTTCATAACGCTCATTCGAGGTGAGTGGACGGCTTAATGTCTTATAACTCTTGGGTTAAGTATGAGATTACCTAAATAAATGTTATAAGTATTCATAATGATGTTTAAAAGAGTTTAAGCATGTGATTAGTCAAGATGATTAGGCTTATGTGAATAAAACTACATGATTATGCATGTGGAAGGTAGAAAATGTGTATAAAAACATATGTGATGTTTTGGATGGCCAAAATGGCATTTATTGATTGTTTTAGACATGATATAGGTTGTATAAAAATTTCGGATCAAACGGATCACGTTTCGGGGGTCAACTCGGGGGTCAACGGGCCGTTGACCCAAAACTCCGAACATACCCGGCGCCGGGTATAGGGCATACCCGGGGCCGGGTAAGCTACTGCCTCCACATTTTAATTTCACCGAAAACGCGAACCGAAGTCCGGTTCGAAGGAGGGGCTGACCCCGTACAACCTATGTGTGTATATTGTGCATGGAATTGCATGGAATATGATGATTTAATGTCAAGGTTGATATTTATTGATTTAATTCTAAGACTTGGTTTAGTCCTTAGTAATAATATGATATAGACCCTATCTAGTGTGATATGTGGTAAGTCATAGGTCGGGTGGAGTACCCAGGGATCGGGCGTGTATCCTCAAAACTCGGTTATAGGGTGGAGTACCCAAGGATCGGGCGGTTATCCTCAAAACTCAGTTATATAGGGTGGAGTACCCAAGGATCGGGCGGTTATCCTCAAAACTCGGTTATATAGGGTGGAGTACCCAAGGATCGGGCGGTTATCCTCAAAACTCGGTTATATAGGGTGGAGTACCCAAGGATCGGGCGGTTATCCTCAAAACTCGGTTATAGGGTGGAGTACCCAAGGATCGGGCGTGTATCCTCAAAACTCATACGATTACATTTAATGATCTAGGACCGGGCGGTGTCCTTATGATAATTTATTGGAACAAGGAGGAGTTCTATACACTCATAGGTATATGGGTGGGTTGGGATTTAAGTCAAGGATATTGGCTACTATTATCTTCCCAAATAAACAATGACCTACGGGTCGGGTATTTTCCAATTGTATGCATACTAATAATATGTATTTCAAACTTGGGGGAAGGACTATACGTATATGTATCACCCTATGTTTGGGTCTTGTACTTGAAACGTTAGTTATTCTACATTTAGCTTGCTACTCGCTCGGTACTTGTACTGACCCCTTCGGGGGGCCCCACCATTTCAGGTTGAAGCTAAGGCTAGATATCCACACTTTGCTCGGTGAAGTATTCCAAAGGAAGACGTGGTTCGTGCTTCCTTTACTGTTTTAAACTACAAACTTGCTCATGGATACTTTGTAATAAATACATTTGTTTTGGGCCTGCGTGCCTACGTTTTGGCCAGGTGTGGCCCATGATTGAATATTGAATATTTCCGCTATTCATTCAATCCCAATATGTGATGTTGTTATGTATGTTTACTTACAGAGTATGGTATGGACTATGTTCATGGACGCCTTGTGTGACTAAGTCGCGTTGACTTGCGAGTGACGTCATTTAGTCATACGGCGGTTGTACACGCGCTCAGATGCGGTCTGGGGCGTGACAACATTAGGCTACATTCCGGCCATTCAAAACACAGTAAAAAATAAGCCCAGGGGATACACCAACAAATCCCAAAACCCTGTTAAAAAGGAAGGGATACCGAAATTAAAGACTAACACATCAAACATACCGATTACCAAGTATATGACTTCAAAAGTCAATCATATTCGAAGGATACAACATTACAGCCTATACAATATTTTATACTCCGTATAGAAATCACTCCCTTAATTTGTTTATGTTAAAATATAAAAAATTAGTCATCTTCTAACTATTCATGATGTAGAAAACTATGCGGAATAATCAACTTGTATTTTCCCGATCAATATCAGATACATTCGTGTACAATATATACATGTTGAAGTGTTGGCTACGTAACTAACAGATAAGAATAACAACTGTACAAACAAAATATGTGGCTAGTCTAAAGGGATAAAAACTCTAAAAAAAAAATACTCCAACCGGAATAAAATACATGCATATAATACATGTAAACTCCTAACGTAGGAGACATGCATGTGATGAGATTGGTTGACCGAGAATATATGACCGAACACCCCCCCCCCTCAAGATGGAGCATGGAGGTCTCGAATGCCCATCTTGGAGAGTAAATATCCAAATTGATGCGCCCCAAGTGCCTTCATAAAGATATCAGCCAATTGCTCAGTAGTGGACTGATGGAGTGGTTTAATAATGCCACTTCGAACATGATCCCTCAAAAAATGACAATCAATTTCAATGTGTTTGGTTCGTTCATGAAAAACTGGATTGGAGGCTATATGTAAAGCAGCTTGATTGTCACAAAATAGAGGAATAGGGTGATCATGTGGTACGTCTAATGCAGAAAGTAAATTCTTAAGCTTGATGAGCTCCCAGGTAAGAGCAGCCATAGAGCAGTACTCGGCTTCAGCTGAGGAACGAGAGACGGTAAGTTGTTTCTTCGTGCGCCACGAGATAGGGGAATGTCCAAGCATAACAAAATAACCAGAAGTAGACCTGCGTGTAAGGGGGCAACTAGCCCAGTCTGAGTCACAGAAACCCACCAAGGATAGCGAGGAATCACTCCGTAGCAAAATACCTTGCCCGAATGACCTTTGAGATATCTCAACACACGAACCACGGCTTCCCAGTGTGAGACACACGACTCTTGCATG